AGCTCAGAGAAGTCTCCATGAAAAAGATTTTAAGATTAAGATCTTTAAGCTGTTATAGATAAACATGAAAAACGACAATAAACAAAAAAAAGGGGCAAAATAAAGATATAATCCAGATGTTCTGCTTTGCATCCTCTGCCTCTCATCCTGTGCCACGGCCCAGGTGTGGATGGCACCTCTCTGCCCGGGGGAACTGCTGTGGCACCAACACATTCCTGTTTCCATTCTCCAGACAAGCAGCATGTACTGAGTGCAGGGGTTTGATGCTGGTGCTCGCTGGAGGGCTCAGCCAGGCCCGTGGCCTTTCCCATTCACCCTGATCTGGGAGCAGGGTCACAGTCCCCAAGGAAAGTAAACACTCAAGAGGCAAAGCATCCTGCAACCCACCACTTCCATGGTTTCTGAAGCAGTTGGAGAACAATTTTTTTTTTTTGAGAGCAGTTTGGTGTGGTGTCTCTCAGGGGTTGATGTAGGAGTGTGTGTGTTTAACATCTTTCCCAGTGATAAAGATGCTCATGGGCAGCTGGGCAGTGTCCTGGTGACACCAAGCTGTGTTGGTGGGAGGTGCCCTCCTCACACACTGCAGGGCAGGGACTGGGCATCCATGAAAACAATCTGGACAGCCTGGAGAGGTGGAGCTGTGCAAAACTCATGACACTTAACCAGGCCAAGTAAAAGGTCCTACATGGAGTTGGGGCAATCTTAAGTCCAAGCACAGGCTGGGAAGAGGATGGATGGATGGATGGATGGATGGATGGATGGATGGATGGAAGGAAAGCTGCCTTGAGAAGGACTTGGACGTGCTGGTGGATGAGAAGCTCAACACAAAATCATGGAATGGCCAGCGCTAGGAGGGACATTAAGGTCATCGGGTTCCAAACCCCTGCCATGGATGTGCCCCAGCCACGTTTGTCAGAAACCCCCCATGCCCTGGGCTGATGTCCCACTCTGGGCAGAAGGGGAAGGGGAGATTCTGCCCCTCTGCCTTGCTCAGGTGAGACCCCACCTGCAGAGCTGCCCCAGCCCTGTGGCAAACTGCAGAAGGACCTGGAGCTGCTGGAACGAGTCCATAGAAGGCCATGGAGCTGCTCCTGGCCTGGAGCCCCTCTGCTCTGGAGCCAGGCTGGGAGAGCTGGGGGAGCTCACCTGGAGAGGAGAAGGCTCCAGGGAGAGCTCAGAGCCCCTGGCAGGGCCTGAAGGGGCTCCAGGGGAGTTGGAGAGGGACTTTGGATAGGGGTGTGGAGTGACAGGACAAGGGGGAATGACTTCCCACTGCCAGAGGGCAGGGATGGTTGGAATACTGGGGAGGAATTGTTCCCTGTGAGCAAGAAATGGCTTCCCTGGCACAGGGTGCCCAGAGCAGCTGTGGCTCCCTGAGCCCTGGCAGTGTCCAAGGCCAGGTTGGACAGGGCTTGGAGCAGCCTGGGATGGTGCAAGGTTTCCCTACCAAAAGCAGGGAGTAGAACAAGATGGCCTGTAAGGTCTGTCCCAAGCCCAACCCTTCTGTGACTCTCTGAATTAAGTTCCTCATTGTGAAACACATTTCCCGGCACTGTCATGCACTAACTGTCCACAGCCTCTGAAATGTCCTCATCCTCCTCCTCTATCTGGTGCTGATGCAGCAGGGGAGGGACTCAGAGCTTTGCAAATCCACCATCTCTGCCCCTTTGCACAAGAGCTGTGCTGTGGTCTCTGTTGTGCAAACTGCTGGTTCTGGAGCTACTGCTGGATCTGTTTCTGGTACTGGAGCTGGTTCTGGTGCTGGAGCTGGTGCTGAAGTTGGGACCTCGGGCAGATGTTCTGCTTCTGTGTCACACTCTGAAAGGGGTGGGCTGGAGACCTCCTGAGTCTCTTGGGTTAGGGTTCCCTGAAGGCTCGGGGTCTCATTTAAGGAAGCATTGTCCCCAGGGATGCAGGCCCCCCCCTGCTCTGGGTCCTGTCCTAGCACTCACCACTCTCCTGGGTGGTTTTGTACATCTGTTGGGAATTTTCTTGGCAGTACCAGGTGTCATTGCCTCTTGTCCCATCCCTGGCACTCTGAACAGCTCTGTCTGCTCTGCAGCCCTTCCATGAGACAGTCCAAGTCAAGAGTAAGGCTTCCAGAGCCTTCTTCCCTCCAGGCTGACCAAACCCAGCTTTCTCCTGGGCTCAGGTGGGTTCCCTCCAGGTTGTCAAAACCAGTCTGCAAACAGGACCAGCCTCACTGGGCCTCACTGCAAGATTTGTAATTTGTTTTGCTGATTTTCTTTAAAGTATTAAAGGACCAGGACCATCATCAGTTCATGGCTCCACTTACATGGAGGCAGTTTTGGGGATGGTGGATCCCAGCTTTGGGGATGGACACACCTGCAGAGTCACTGCCAGAGGCACTGCACCACCTGGACCATTCTGCAGCCACTGGCGGTCCTGGGGTGTCTATGCAGGACAGTCGAGGTGAAGACCTTCATCCAACCAGCCCTGGGGAGCCCTGGCAGGAACTTGGTTGCTCCCAGTCTGTGCTGCTGATCCAAGGAATTCTGATCCATGAGGGCAAACACAACTGCAATGCACAGTGCACTTCCATGCTCAAACACATCCCTCACTGATCCAGCAGCATGCCCTGTCAGCATTTGTCCATCAGGTGCTTTTGCTCTGGGACAGGGAGAGGGGCTTTGCCCGTGGCAGGGGAGATGTTTTGCCAGCTGAGCTCCTGGTGCAGTGGCACTTGGGGCAGACCAGATGCTCCAGACCGGCAGCTGGAGGGTGATGCCTGTTCAAACCATCATCCCAGGGCCTTCTCCTGGGCAGGAGGAAGGAGCAGCTCCCGTGGAGCCCCGGGGGATGTGGGGCAGAGCCCGTCCGGAGGAGGGATGGGCAGTGCTGGGCACTGCAGGTGTCTCTGGGGGTGGATGTGAAATCCTTGCTTTGACCTTTAAAAGCGGCAGAGGATGAAGAGCAGCACGGGGAAAGGAACGTTGTCCCTGGAAGGCGCGCCCAGCAGGGCTCAGGGCTCTCGAACCACCATGAAGTGGTCACATCACCTTCAAAAGTCCCGGGAAAGCTCCGGCGAAGCATCAGGCTGTGTATCCGGCTGCGAGCAAAGGAGCCTCCCGGCGGGCAGAGGGTGGCAGGTGAGGTGGGCGCTGGCCTGGCCGGGCCCCCACGCCAGGGGAGTGCCCGGGGCAGCCGCTGCTGATAAGGCCGGGCCGATAAAAGCGGGCGCGGAGGGGCCGCGGGCCGGGCAGAGGCGGCGGATCGCAGGTGGGAGCCTGGCCCGGGCACCGGCGCTTTGCTCTTGCGGAGGGTTTGTTCCTGTGCCGGGGGCGGCACCGGGGAGCTGGGGCTGAGCTGGGGGCTGAGGCGGGGGCTGAGCTCTGGGGCTGAGCCGGGGGCTGAGCTCTGGGGCTGAGCCTGGGGCTGAGCCGGGGGCTGAGCTCTGGGGCTGAGACTGGGGCTGAGCTCTGGGGCTGAGCCTGGGGCTGAGCCGGGGGCTGAGACTGGGGCTGAGCTCTGGGGCTGAGCCCTGGGACTGAGCCTGGGGCTGAGCCTGGGGCTGAGCTCTGGGGCTGAGCCGGGGGCTGAGCTCTGGGGCTGAGACTGGGGCTGAGACTGGGGCTGAGCTCTGGGGCTGAGCCGGGGGCTGAGCTCTGGGGCTGAGCTCTGGGGCTGAGCCGGGGGCTGAGCCTGGGGCTGAGCTCTGGGGCTGAGCCTGGGGCTGAGCCGGGGGCTGAGACTGGGGCTGAGCTCTGGGGCTGAGCCCTGGGGCTGAGCCGGGGGCTGAGCTCTGGGGCTGAGCCCTGGGGCTGAGCCGGGGGCTGAGCTCTGGGGCTGAGCTCTGGGGCTGAGCCGGGGGCTGAGCCCTGGGGCTGAGCCCTGGGGCTGAGCCGGGGGCTGAGCTCTGGGGCTGAGCTCTGGGGCTGAGCTCTGGGGCTGAGCCGGGGGCTGAGCTCTGGGGCTGAGCTCTGGGGCTGAGCGCGGCGGCTCCCGCTGCTCCCACCCTCGGCCGGCGCCGGGAACGGCGGGAGCGCAGCGGGGAAGCGCCGGGAGCGGGGGCGGTGGCTGCGGCCAGGGCGGCTGCACAGGGACGGGGCCGAGCCGGGCAGGCTGGGTGCCTTTGAGCCGGGCAGTCCGGATGCCTTTGCCTTCAGCCAGGCAGTCCGGGTGCCTTTGGGGCAGCTTCACGGTGGCTGCTCAGCCCACAGCTCTGGGCTCATTCTGGGAGCTGATTGCTTGGAGCAGCCCTGGGAGGTGAGTGGGTCAGCTTTGGGAAAAACATGCCAAACATCTATTAAATGGCTATTAAATACTTCCCACTCCTTTTGCAGCCCATGTTAGAGGAACAGATAGGTAATAACGGAATAAATTCTCATTAAAACACAAATATAAATGCCATATTTTATAATTATGGGGATAGAATGATACCCAGCTCATGGCTGGCTTCACTCTGGTTCTATTGAGGAACACAAACAGTTCACTCATAGTGATTATTGTAGCAACATTCTAAATATTGAAGTGTTATTTCCTCCAAATTTTTGGTGTAACTTTTAATATGAATATCCTCAATCCCAGGCTAATCAGGAATAAAGAGAATACAGTCCTTATATGTTTTTATGTGACATTGTATGTGGCATGACTACTTGCAAGGAGGACTCTTGGAATCTAAAGGCAGAGAAGCAGCGGTGTAGAGGACCTGCTGTGCTATCCTGGCTCTTTCCTCTTCCCCAGCAGCTCTCCCTTGCACCCTCTGGGTGCTGTGCTGGCAGCAGGTTCTGGTCCCTTTGTGGTGCCCCCGAGGTCCCAAGCAGCACATTCCCAGTTCCCAGCAGTGCTGGCATCCCTGGGACAGGAGGCTGCTCCTTTTCCACATGGCACTGACAGAGCTCTGGGGCAGTGCACTCCCTCCTAGAAGCGTTGCATTGGGCAAGGGATGCTCCATGAGCTCCTGTGCCACCCTCCACCTTGGCACGGACCTTCCTGATGCATCCATATGTTCTTGGTCGTCTTCACCTACATTTCTTTGCAGGAATGAAGGCAGAAACCTTCCTGGGGCTGCTGGTGATCCTCAGCCTGTTCCAGGCATCTGTATCCTCTTCCTACGGTATTGTCCTTCCCTCAGGGTTTGCAGATCAGGGGATTTTCTGAGGGGGAAAGATCAGGCTGTGTCTGGAATAGACTGTCATTCAGCAGCACAGCCCTGAAAAGGTGCCAGAAGGGGCACAGTTTGTACCTCCTGTGCCTCGTTCAGGGTTTTACCAGTCCAGATTCTGCCTGATTCCTTGAAATCAGGTAAAGGAGATCAGTTCCCAGCACTTGTCCATGCCCATGGAACCAGGATCTCCCTCCCTGTGCCAGCACCTGAGAGGCTGCCAGGGCCTGTGGAGTGTAGGGATGGGGCATTTACTCTCCCTCTTCCAGCCCTGAATCACTGCTCCAAAATATATGGAGACCTCCATCTGTTAATTTACAATGTCAAATCCTTATGAAAAGCACATGCCTGGCTTTTCATTTGCCTCAAATGGTGGTCCAGGCAGTAATTTTTCTCATCAGGATTGTCCAAGAGGTGAGCTCTGGGCTGATCTGGGAAGGTATTTAAAAGAAACTGGAGAGATTTGGGAGATGTTTATCCCTTTCTACTATTTTCTGAAGTTTTCCTCTTTCCCAGAAGCTGTAGGAAAGTGCTGTCACTCAGAGAAGCCCTTGGGGCCTGTCCCCTTCCTTTCTGTGACCCACAGCCAGCAGATGAGAGATGAAATTCATTTTGGGAGCTCCGGCAGGGCAGGAAGGGGAGTAGTGAAAATGGCAGGAGGTTGCAGGAAGGACTGGGGAAAGATGTGGGGTGTTTCCCTGCTCATAGAATCAGAGAATCCCAGCATGGTTTGGGTTGGAAGGGAGCTCAGAGTTCATCCCATTCCCTCCTGCCATGGGCAGGGACACTTTTCACTATTCCAGGCTGCTCCAAGCCCCATCCAGGCACTGCCAGGGGTTGGGACAGCCACAGCTGCTCTGGGCACCCTGTTCAATGCTCTGCTGGGGAAGGGCAGCACAGATGGTGCCTGCACCTCTCACTGTTTGGGGCTGTTTGAAGCCTCCACGGATGGAGGGATTCTCTTCATGCCCAGGAGAGACTCTCAAACTCCCCTGAGGGATACGTTTACATGCAGATCTCTGGAGAGCGAGCAGCATTGCCTCCAGCGCTGCTGTGTGTAATTCCCCGGTGCAGGAGGCGCAGGGATGCTCCTGCCGGCACCCTCACCTCTGCTCCTCCCTGTCCCTGCCCAGATGTGCCGCTGCAGCTGTCGGACACGGCCCTGCTCAGCAGCGTGGCTGAGGCCCGGCACCTGGTGGATGCTGCCTACAGGCGCACACGGGAGCGGTAAGAGCCGGGCTGGGGTGGCGCGTCCCTGTCCCCTGTCCCCTATCCCCTGTCCCCTATCCCCTGTCCCCTGTCCCTGTCCCATCCCTGTCCCAGTCCCCTGTCCCTGTCCCTGCCCTCTCCTGCAGCTTCCCCTGCCTCTCCTGCTCCCCGCAGCCCAGCGACAGTGGGGTGGGGAGCCCTGGGAGCACAGTGGGTTCTCATCCAGCTTTTGGCTGCTCACCCTGATTTTACAGCAGTCTGTCAGGTCACTGGGAATGTGACCCCCTCTGTCTCGGTTTTCAAAGAATTGCAGAATCCTGGACGGTTTGGGTTGGAGGAGATCTTAAAGCTCATCTCTTTCCAGCCCCAGCCATGGGCAGGGACACCTCCCACTATCTCAGGGTGCTCCAAGCCCCATCCAGCCTGGTCTTGGACACTTCCAGCTCCTCTTGGCACCCTGTGCCAGGGCCTCCCCATCTTCACAGCGGCACCTGATGGTATTGCTGGGCTCTGTTGCACCCCTCAGGGCTCTCAGTTGAGACCATAACAGGCTCCTGCATATTTCCAGTGATTCCCTCCAAGGGATGCAGCAAACAGCTGGGTGCTGCAGTGAGGACATTTTGTGGGGCTCCCAGCCATGCTTTGGGAGTGTCCAGCTTCCTACCAGCCCATACCTGTTGTCTGCCAGCAGCCACATTCTGAATCCCCTCCCTGGCTTGGGGACTCCTCCAGCTGAGAGGAAGCTCCAGCAGCCTTAGGACAGGGCGGCCTGGAGACATTTGAGGCCTCCAGACAGTGAGAGATATTGATGATGTGGATAACAGCTGAGGGGGGTTTGGTGCCTCATGGGTGTCATTTGCCTTCTGGCAGGTGGAGCTGGGCAGTTTCAGGAGCTCCCTCCCTTCCTGCAGGTCTCTCTGCTGCTCTGTGGAGGGTGCCAGGAGCAGCCCTGGCCTCTCACAGTGACTCTCCCCAACAGCTCAGACTTAGGACATGCTGTGCCTGATGCTCAGGTGTGCAACTGCAGCATCCCTGCCCCTGCTCCGTTTCAGATTTTGGTTTCCTGTCCCTTGCAGCATAAAGAAGAGCCTGCAGAACAATGCCTTGACCCCAGCAGAGCTCCTGAGATATTTCAAGCAGCCCGTGGGAGGGACACGAGAGGCTGTCCGGGCAGCAGATTACCTGCAGACCACCCTGAGCCTGCTCAAAGAGAGAATGCAAGGGGCTGTGAGGGGGGACTTCAACGTTACAGGTAGGATCCCCCTCTGCTGGGAGGAAGGCAGAGGAGGAAGACACAGGGCTTGGTCCCTGGGGCTTGGGAGGAGTGAAGGAAAGGGGGTTGTGGTGAGCTGTGACAAATCTTTCCCGTGTGGCTGCACTGAAGCAAAGCTGAGTTATTTTTCTGTGCTCTTTTTTCATTTTAAATATTATTTGGAGGTTTTTCAGTTAGTGAAAGTGTTTTGTGCACTTCCCTGGTTCCTTCTGCTGTGTGGAGGTTCAAGTTCCAATTGGTCAAAGCCTGGAAGGCTTTGGTGGATATTCTGCTGCTTGAGCAGGGAATGAGCAACCCAGAGATGGCTCCCAGCAGCTTGGCCCCAAGGAGGGCAGTTCTTCAGCCAGACCTCAGACAGCACTGCAGTCACATCTCAGACACAACACTGTCCAAATAGAGAATGGGGAGATGTGAGAGGACATTTCAGCGTGTATCTGGAGGAGCAACATCCTCTGTGAGATGGAGTCAGGCAAGGCCAGGCTGCTGAGAGGAGGCAGATCAGGGTCAGTGAAAGGAGCAGCTCAGGGACACACACGGAGGACTCCTGCCATATACATATGGGGATTATGGAATGGTTTGGATGGGAAGGGACCTTGAAGCCCATTCAGTGCCACCCCTGCCATGGGTAGGGACACCTTCCACTGTTCCAGACTGCTCCAAGCCTCATCTAGCCTGGCCTCAAACACTTTACCAACGTTACAGTAAAGCACTGGCAGGATAGGGCACATCATGGGGTGCCCTGGCTTTGCTCTGGGACAGGATGGGTTGGAAGGTGATGGCAGAACTGGCTGTGCAAAGCTCCAGCCTCTCCATCCAGGACTGATGCTCCAGTGCCACTACAGAGCCCTGCCAGGGCCCCCTGGCTGCCGCCTCTCACCCACCTGCCCAGTGGCTTTTTAAACCATGCTGTGACCCAGACTGTTGGTGGCAGCAGTGACCAGGAAACCTCAAAGCGCTGGGACATGGAGTGAGCAGCAAAAGCCAAGAAGGAGCATCTTCCCTGGGAGAGCTGAGGGTGAGCCTGGAGAAGAGAAAGCTCTGGGGAGATATCAGAGCCCCTTCCTAAAAAGGCTTATAAAAAAGAGGGAGGGACTTTTTACACGGGTAGATAGTGACAGGAAAAGAGGGAATGGTTTTAAAATAAGAAAGGAGAGATTTGGATTATGTCAGGAAGAAATTGCTGGCTGAGAGTGTGCTGAGGCCTTGGCACAGGCTGTCCAGAGAAGCTGTGGCTGCCTCTTGGAAGTGTCCGAGGCCAGGCTGCAGCAACTTGGGAAGGTGTCCCTATCCTTCCCAAGGGAAGGGAGTTGGAGCAAGATGGTCTTTAAGGTCTCTCCAACCCAAACCATTCCATAATTCTGTGATTCTGTAAGACCTTTCTTGTTAAACTCTGCCACTTAACTTCCCTACAAAGGGAAATGTGCACAGCAAAACACAATGCCCTCGGTGAGCCCAGCCACAGGACGGTTCTTTTCCAGGCAGCTCCGAGTAGGTGACTCACACTGGGAGCTGCTTCCAAGGGGAAAAACTTGTAACAGCCCCTAGGATAGCTGTGACTGCATTTTATGGGGGATAGAAAGGGAGAGGAGAGGAGAGGAGAGCCAATACTAGAAAACCATTCTGCTGCTGCATGAGCCTAACATGTGATTACACATAAGATCTGACCATAGCTTTGCTGGGTTTGATGCATTCCAAACCAGTAAAAGCATCTGCTGCTCAAAGAACATCCTTGGCATGTCTTCGAGCAGGAAGAGTTAAACGGCAGCACACTGTGGTTGTGCAGATGGTGCTAGGCACAGGTACTAGGTACAGGAAAACCTTTGCAGGGCCGGTGTTCCTGCATGGATTTTTTCTCCCTTATTCCTTGCCAGACTTGCTGACTCCAGCTCAGGTGGAGGTGATTTTCAAGGCCACTGGATGTGACCAGCAGGATAAGAAAATAAATTGTGCATCTTCTGGCTACAGAACCATTACTGGAGAGTGCAACAACAGGTGAGGGGCTGTGTCAGCAGGAGGATGGATGGATGGATGGATGGATGGATGGATGGGACAGGAGGAGAAGAAATGGACTCAATTGCACCAGGGGAGGCTCAGGTTGGACATCAAGGGGAATTTCTTCCTGGAAAGGGTGGTCAGGTATTAGAATTGCTCAGGGGGCTGGTGGAGTCCCCATTCCTGGAGGTGTCCAAGGAAGGACTGCATGTGGCACTCAGTGATCTGGGCTGGTGGTTAACCTAAATTTTTCTATAGATGGATGTCAGGCATCCTCCATAAGTAGAAGTAGACGCTCTTCTCCAGGGAAGATTCACACAGGCACCTTGTTTTGGAGTTTCACACTCTAGTATTTCCTAGTAATGTGTGGAGCTGTTAATTCCAGTCCTGTTGGGAAGGTTCCTGGTGTTGTACCTGAACCAGCTCTTTGCCAAAACAGGAGGAGCTCCGTGTTGGGGACAGACTCTTTGTCTAGCCCTGCCCCTAGGCAGGGTCTCCAAGGGTTTCCTGACCTAAATCCACACTGGGCATAATCCAGCCATCTCTTTGCTCCACTCTGTGTGGGAGGAAATCTGGGCATATAGGCTGGGAGAGCACCTCCTATGGCTGGAATGGGAATGTGGGAGACATGGGAAATTGCTGAGCATGGGGTGTTTGACAGGGACAGTTCAGAAACATTCCCTGTAAAAACAGAGCTGGGAAGCTCCTGGAAGCAGCTGAGGCAGAGGAAGGAGCTCAGCCAGCTCTGCCTGCTCCAGGGTGCTTTAGCCTTCAGGGGATTGTATAAGAACAAAGGAGAGACCTTCCTGCCTCCTTCCACTTCAGGGGGGGGAATAAGGATGGGTCCATTACACCTGATCCAGACCTGAAGGCCTGGGGAAAGTGGGCTCAGCTGTGCTCTGTTTCTCCACTGCCTGGGGCAGTGCTATACCCCCTGTGGGTGAGAGGCCACCACAGAACACACTTTGGACATGCACTCCAAAGAAGGTACGTTACTACTCTGATTAAGGATTTAATGGTGTGTTTGTCCTGGTTTAGAGAAAATTTGGGAGAGAACCTCCAAAGGGGTTCCTCTAGAAAGCAGATTCAAGCTGCCCCTCCCCTTAATTTAACAGGCAAAGCATTCACCAGCACAAAAAAAAAAAAAAAAAAAAAAAAAAAAAAAAAAAAAAACAAACCAAAAAAACAATATTAAACAATAGAACCCCTTGCTGCTCCAAAAGAGATGACAAACTGAGAAAGTCCCTCCCCGGGTTGCAGCTCAGCTCACTCAGGCTCTGGTCAGTGCTGGAAATGTCGCAGGCCAGGCCCGGCCTAGTGGGCCTCAGGTGGAGCTGCCGGTGCTCCCCTCGGTGTTCAGGCCAGAGCAGGTTTGAACAGCTCCAAAGAAAAAGAAAAACTACAGATCAGAGAACTTCTCTGCCTCAGCTAGCTAAAAACTGACTAAAAAGCAGTTGTGCCAGTGTCTCTCTGTGCTGCAGACAACAGTCCAGGAGCAGGAATGTGGAGGAGCGAGTGCAGTGTCTGAAAACAAACTGCTGCTGCTTCTCTCCCCACCACTTCGCTCTCAGAACCAATCTGAAAGGTGCAAAACTTATTTCTGGGCTAAACAGGTTAATGGGGACACGAGCATCATAAAGTCACTCTAGGACATCTAATCAAACAACAATCATAGAGTTACAGAATTGTTTGCATTGGAAGTGATTTTGAAAAGGTTTAAAGGTCATCTAGTTCAACCCCCTGCAATGGGCAGGGACTCTTCATTAATGACCTTTAAAAAATCACCCAGCACAATAACCTCACAGTCTAAACCCCCCAATTTATGTTCAAGACCATAGGTAATTCCATTCAAAGGCTCCTCCCCTTTTCCATGGTGTTCAGCTTCCAACTTTGTTTTCCAGCCACAGTCCGAGGGCCTTTTTTCAGGCTGGATGACATCAGGGGCACCTGAGTTCTTGCCTGGGAGAAACTGAGAGTTGGAGCAGATTATTAAAGGTCTTTTCCAACCTAAACAATTCTATGATTGTTGTTGTTGTTGTTATTAATCCTGAGGTTTACTGATAGCAACAAACCTACAGAGCTGCAGCAGTTCCCCAACCATGGTGTGCTCCCATTCCAAGGTCCATGTTTCTCCATATCCAAAAGCTCTTGGCTCCAACTGTTTGCTGTTTTTCCATTGCCTCTGACAGGAGGAACCCATCCCTAGGAGCTTCCAACAGAGCCCTGGCCAGGTGGCTGCCAGCGGAATATGAGGATGGCGTGTCGGTGCCTCGCGGGTGGACGGAAGGAAAACGTTTCTCTGGGTTCCCCCTTCCACTGGTAAAGTTTGTAACAGTCTCAGAACACAGTGTCAGACATAGGGATTGTCAGTTCTAGGACAGAGTGCAGGCATCAAAGTGCTCATCCACTACCTGGAATTGTGGATCAGGTGAGAGGGGCTTAGATTCACCAGCTGCAGGGTGATGGTCTGAGGATATCCAGGCGGATCTATTAGGAATGCTTTCTAAGTCCCATGTCTTCAGGAAAAGCAAAGGAAAATTAATCTGATTGCTGCAGAATCACAGGAGGAATACAAAATTACACAATATGTTCTTTTAAATTGAGTGCATTTAAGCCAAATTATTTTACTTACATTTTTTTATTTGGTCTGTGGCAGTTGTTTCTGAAAAGCAATTATGCCAGAGGATAAAGTGAGCCAGGGAATCCCCAGAACAAAAAATGTGTGACCAGAAATGCTATGTGGGGGTCCCTGTGTGGGTGAAGTGCAGGGGTTGTGGCTCTCATGGCACCTGGATGTGAGCAGGGACACTGTAAGGTGGCTTTTGGTCACTTGAGCTTGGTGCAACAGCTCTGATGAGGAGGAGCTGGGGTTGTGTTCATGGATTTCTTGTACTTCCTAACCTCCTTCCACAGCACTGTGTCCACTTTTTCTGCAGTAATACATGGAGGTGGGAGAACTGTGATTGCTGAGTAAGGGATGAGAAGGGAGGAGGACTTCAAGATAATTTTCAGAAATTCCCTGGGGCTGTTTTTTCTACACTTCTATTAAAAAAAAAATATATATTTTAAAATTTGTTTTGTCTCCCTTTCCCAGGCCTGCTTAGCTATTGCCCCAATTCCATCAAGGGACAGTCTTGGCCTGGAGGTTCAGAATCCTGCCTAGAGCCAGAACAGCACTGTGCTCAGCGAAGGGCACTTGGTGATCATGACACCTTCCTGCACAGACAAATTTGGGGTTTTTTGTCTGCAAAGCACAAGAAGTGCCCTGGGAATTTTTGCTGCTGACCCCGTAGCTGGGTGCACCCATTCACACACGTCATTTCCCACCACTGTGTTCTGCCTCCACCCCTGCAGGTCCGACAAGTGTCCAACGAGATTGTCCGCTTCCCCCCAGAGCTGCTGCGGATGGACCAGCAGAGATCCCTCATGTTCATGCAGTGGGGCCAGTTTATTGACCACGACCTGGATTTCAGCCCAGAAACCCCAGCCAGAGTCCCCTTCAGTGGTGGGACAGACTGTGACACCAGCTGTGCCAAGGAGCCTCCCTGCTTTCCCATCCAGGTACAGGCAGCCTCCTTCTTCCAGGGGAGGAAGGGAGAGGGAATCTGCTTTCCAACCAGATGTTGGTGGCTCTCACGCTCCTTGGCCATGGAGGAATATCCTCCCAGAACAGGCCAAGGAGGTCAGAGCACTCTGTGTGGTGGCAGTGCTGTGTTCCAGGGGCAGGCCCTGGGTTCAGGCACAGGCACAGACTTGCCAGGTTTCCAGGCATTTGGCCATCTCCCTCAGCAAGGTGGATTTTCTTTGGAGCTGTTGTGCAAAGGTAGCACAGTTGATGCCAGGAAAACAGGAAATGTCACAGACAGACACTGGGGAGTGTCAACACCCCAGAAAATCCACGGGGCTTCAGTGTTCTTTGCACAGGACAAGGGAGTGCTGAGATCTCCCAGCAGTGCCTGTGGCATTATCAGAAGTCACATCCTGGTCCCTGCTCCAGCAGATCACAGAAGCATTGGGGTTGGAAAAGCCCTCCAGGATCATCCAGTCCAAGCTGTGCCTCACCCCCACCTTGTCCCCAGCCCAGAGCACCGAGTGCCACCTCCAGCCCTTCCTTGGGCACCTCCAGGGATGGGCACTCCAGACCTCCCTGGGCAGCCCCTGGCAGTGCTGAGCCCCCTTTCCATGGGGAAATTCCTGCTGCTGTCCCCCCTGAGCTGCCCTGGCCCAGCCTGAGGCCGTTCCCTCTGCTCCTGTCCCTGTTCCCCCGGCTGTCCCCTCCTGTCAGGAGCTGTGCAGAGCCACAAGGGCCCCCTGAGCCTCCTTTTCACCAAACCCTGTCCATGTCCCTCCTGCAGCCCTGCTCTCCCACCTTTAAAGTTCTGCTACAGCTCTGGCTTCTACATGTCCTCCTAATTCCTCTGAATGAAAACTGTGATGGGATGGAACATCACTGAGTGTTTCCCTGACATACATTTGAGAGTGCTGGAAGGAGGGGTCACAAATACTGGATGACAATTCTGTGTGGTGTAGATAGGGAGATAAGAAAACTGAGCGTTAAAGATGCAATCCAATATACTTATTTTCAGGGGAAAGTCTTTAGGAATCCATAGGACTTTAGGCTCCAGGCTGTTTGGGACTTGGGCTCCTAAAGCAGCCTCTCTGCTGTCAATCTGACCCTTATGCCCTGTGAGAGGGCTCCTGCCTGGCTCCATCTCCATGAATTTTCCTTTTCTCCATCTGCAGATCCCACCCAACGACCCCCGGATCACCAACAGGAGGGATTGCCTCCCTTTCTTCCGCTCGGCGGCGGCCTGCCCGCGGGCCCGGGCGGTGCGGGAGCAGATCAACGCCCTCACCTCCTTCCTGGACGGCAGTGTCGTGTACGGCAGCGAGCCCGCCCTGGCCGAGCGGCTGCGGGACCGCGGCAGCCAGAGCGGCCTCCTGGCTGTGAACCGCAACTTCACCGACAGGGGCAGGGCCTACATGCCCTTCGGCCCCATGAGGAAGGAGCCCTGCCTCAAGGCCAGCGGGCCGGCTCGGATCCCTTGTTTTCTTGCAGGTGAGTTGGGTGCTTGCACCCCAAACCTGGAATCTAGAGCAGGCAATTCCACCATCTCCAGCTCACTTCTTCAGTTGTTTGTTTTTCTTATTTAAATAGAAAATGGAATGGAGCAAATCATGAAAGACTGGGACAGGCTGTGCTAGGTAGGAGGAAGGTCTTCACCCTCTGCAAGTCTTGTTTGTGAGGATAAACCTGGAGTGAAGGCGTCTCATCCATGCTCAGCAGCTGTGGTGCAGGGCCCAGAGTGCCCAAGCAGGCACAGCAATGGCAGCCTGGCCTGGAGGCAATGGTTGGTCTGTCCTTGTCCTTCCATGGCTGTCTCCATCCCACCAGGATGGGAACAGATGTGCAACTACTGTACTGGACCACAGCAGGAAACATTTGCATGTCCCTGCTGCACTTTGAGAGGAGCTCGGATCCCAGCTGGAATGAGGATGAGGCCAATACCTGACCAAGATGGCCTTTTAAGGTGTGTTCCCACCACTGTGAAGGCTGAGGGAGTATTGGAGCACTTTCCACAAGCCTGTGGGACCCCAGAGAGGGATGCTTCTCATATACCTCATGAATTAGTGTCTCCATGGCCTATTTCTTTTGGAGAGCAGGACTTCTCAACTGACTCTTGCTGGCTCTGGCCACACCAGGATGCTTGTGGCAGTGCTGGAGAAAGCTTCAGGGCACAACAGGTCTCATCAGCTGTGGAGTTGCTTTCTATTCCCTTGGCCCCTTTCATATCTGGCCAAAGTTCCTCTGAACATCCCCATGGTCCTTGGAATCCATCAGATCTCTCCTTTAAAGATCATGGTGTTTCACTCTCCCTCCAGGCTCCCACAGCATTCCACCTGTCCCACACGTTGTTCCATGCGTTCACCTGGTCTCCCAGTTCTGTGCAGGTCTCTCCTTGGTGAGAGCCATGCAGGACCTGTGGCCAAAGGCAGGTGCTCAGTGAGAAGCAGAGTGGGCAGGAGCATCAGATAATTCCCAGGAGGGGCTTCTGGCCCCTGCAGACTCTCAGCAAGGAGCAGTTCCTGTTCCGTGGCTGGAACAGACCCATCAGTTCTTTTATGGGAAAGTTTATCAGTTCAGGCTGTATCAGAAGCGCCTTTGAAAATTCAGTGTCTTATTTGTGACTTTTCCGGTCCCTGAGAACTGGGCGAGTTTTACACGAGCAGTTGCCTCCCAGGGCTCAACGTTTCCTCCCAGAGCTCTGTTGGAAGCTCTGTCTGGATGCATTCTGCTCAGGGAAACCTCACAGTGCTGCATTTGTTCCTCCTTCCGCAGTCCCTCACAGGCAGCCTTTGAGAGTGGATGAAAAGGGCTCTGTGCCAAGTGCAGGAGCAAATGCCTCCATTTGCTGTGGGACAAGGGGACTAAATGTGACATGTTTACTTTTCTCTGAGTGCTTGCCAATGCTCTCATCACCTGCTTGCTCTTGCATTTCCTGCCCCAGATGTTTGAAGAAGGATTTGATATTTTATTGTGATGCTGTTTGTTTTTTATTCCTCCAAGTTGACTCATTTTGCTTTTCCTTTTACTCCCCAGAGAGCCTGTTTGTGACTTTCACCTTGCTTTGGCGACAGTTTCAGCTGGTTTGAAGGAGACCTGCTGAGTTTCAGAGCTTCCTTGGCCATCTTGACTTCCCTTTGCCCATTTGCATTTCTCTCTCGAGCCGTGAGACCAAACATCTCTGATATGGGAGCCTGGAGAACACCTACTTGTATTTAACTTTTTAAGTTAATGCTCCCAGCCCTTCACTGAAACTTTCCCCAGCTCTCTGTTATTCTCAGCACAGCCAGGACAACACCTGGCTTTTGTTGCCTCAGCAGAAATTCAGCTTTTGTCTGGTGCTGTCTGATCCTCGGTTTCCCTCTCCTCCTCTGTGTTTCTTACCCACTTTCTTCACAACACAAATATTGAGACATCTAAAAATTCCTCTGTGTGTGCTTCCCAATGTGACTTTCCCGCTCCAGTGTCATGTGTGCCCCTCCCAGGTGACACCCGTGCCAGTGAGATGCTGGAGCTGGCCTGCATGCACACGCTCTTTGTGCGGGAGCACAACCGCCTGGCTGGAAAGCTGAGGAGCCTCAACCCCCACTGGAATGATGAGAAGCTCTACCAGGAGGCACGAAAGATCCTGGGAGCCATGATCCAGGTACCAGCCATCATCCCACCTGTCCTGGCTCTGCCCGCAGTCTCACAGGGTTCACGTGTTAGATTTTGCTCGTGCAGGGTGGCCAAAGGGTGCAGGATTCAGGGGTGAGAGGACCAAATTCTTTCCTCCAGCCCCTTTTGACCAAAGCAAAATCACACAGAGATACCTGAAATGACAAGCACAGAGGGGGCCCCTGAATGTTTTATGTACCTCTACTGTTAAATTTACAAAGTGCTTGATGAGGTTTTTAATGGCACATTTTTGTTTGAGGAACAGACAGAAAAGTCAGAGGAAAAGCTTTTCTAACCGCTGTTTTGTACCTGAAAAAAACGGTCCTGGAAATTTGGATTAAAATTCCTCAGGTTGTGAATCCCTTCCTCTCGATGATTCCCTGCCTATGGGAATGATCTTAAAGGTCCTTTCCAATCCAGATCATTCTGGGATTCTATGAAGAAGCCCCATGTGCTGGTGGAGCCAATCATGGTGTCTCCTTGGGACAGGGTTGCACCCTTTGACCACCCCACACAATCTTGACTAGCTTGACACACTACTCCAGACTTGACCCTGAATGGGATCCTGGGGTCACACAAGCACCTCTGTGCTTGGGAGAGCCCTCCCAAAGTCCCTTGTCCAGCCTCCAGTTTCAAGCAGGAATGGCCTCAAAGCCAGATGAGGTTTTACAGCTGGCAAGAAAGCCTGGATCCTATGAGAGAAAGGGACATGGGGTTTCAAAGGCACTGCACCTCCTTTGAAGCCTGTCTTCTGAGCTGGTTTAACAAAAATAAAAAACAGGAATATCAAAATGTTTATGTTTAAATGCTGCCCATTTAAATATTATTGTATTGTTGAAAAAACATGTTGGGCAAGGCAAACATTCAAAGGATTGTCCAAAAAGCATCATCTCCATCATTGTGTTTACATCAATGGTTCCATCTTCATGCAGTATTCAGACAATTAGTCCATTTTCTCCTACTGACACAGAATTTGATTTTTCTTTTTTAAATTATATTGTGCTGCCTCCTCAATATCCCAGAGAGACAAGAGAGCACGACTGGAAATCTCTGCTGTGGGAGGACTCAGGGAGCTGCCTGTGGGTGGTGCTACCCCCGTTATCTGCCAATGTTATCTTTGCTATCTGAGGCACGAAGGGTGCAGTTCTGCCTGCCTGATGGGAGTGGTGTGGTTACAAGGAGCCAATATTGGGAGGATTTGGCAGGCTTTTATCTTCACAAAATCACAGAACCAATTAGATTAGAAAAGACTTCTGAGATCATTGAGTCCAACCTATTATTATGTTGCTCTGACCTGCCAGAGTGCTGTGACAGAGGGAACATGAAAATCATCTTTGCTTCCACAGAAACTGATGGCCAAGACATTAACAGTTCACCCTTTCCTTGTTTCCCCCTAGATCATAACTTACAGGGACTACCTGCCTCTCCTGTTGGGATCCAAGTTCCACAGGCTCATTCCTCGCTACCGGGGCTACAATGAGTCTGTGGATCCTCGGATATCCAATGTCTTCACCTTGGCTTTTCGCTTTGCTCATGCCTCAATCCCTCCAACTGTTGGCCGCCTAGATGAATATTACAGACCCATAACTCCTGAAATTCAGCTCAGAACCTCCTTCTTTGCTGTTTGGAGAATCATTCAAGAAGGTAAATCCTTTTCTGCAGTGTGGGTTTATTTCATTTGTCTTTTTTGCCTTCTCTGGATGAACTTCTGCTTCAGCCAAATTTAAAAGTGTTTTGTGTTCAATGTATTAACACAAAACACTACCAGCCAGAGTTGTCCCAACAGAGCTGTCCCCTGTAGATGAGGGCAGCCCATCATGTTCCAAAGTGGTCTGATCACTTCATTGCTGTGGCCTTGAAGAACATTATTCAAAGTATTTTCTTCTTAATCCTTTAAAGTGCAGGGAAACTGATTCTCATGTAGTAGCTTATAATTAAATATGAGCTGTGCTCCCCTCTCTGGGGCCTCTTAGCCACACACTGTCCTCCCTGCACTGCTCACATGTCCCTGCTTCAGGTGGAATTGATCCCAGTTTCCCTGTGCCACCTCTGCAGGTGGGATTGATCCCTATCTCCGGAGCCTCATGGCCAACCAGGCCAAGCTGATGACGCAGCAGCAGATGGTGGTGGGCGAGCTCCGGGACCGGCTCTTTGAGCAGGTCGAGAGGATTGGGTTTGATTTAGCTGCACTCAACATGCAGCGCAGCCGAGATCATGGCCTTCCAGGTAAGTCAGCTGTGGGAGCAGAGCTTACAAAGAAAAACAAATGGAAATCAGGCATTTTTGTGATTAAACATTGAGAAGCTTCTCCAACCCATGCTTGGCTGAAATCACTCAGGAGTTGGATTCAGTAATCCTTATGTATCTCTCCCAGTGCAGGATATTCAGTGATTCTATGATGCTCTTTCCCAAACTTTTTCCTTGTTTCTGAACCACCACAGGTAAGTGGGTGGAGGTTGAGCACTGAAGGCAAAGCCTGGCTGAACCTGCATGAGAGACATGGAGGCAGAACATAGCTCATTGCACAGACCAGAGCTTGGTGTTCAGTGATTGACGTGTTTCTATTGTCCAAGTGAAAAAAATGGTAAAATAATTCTGCAACAAGTTTTCAGGAGTGGAATTAGGGCTGTAAGTCCCCTGTGACTTCTCTGCAACCATCTGTAGGGTCCAGCCCAGCCACGCATGACTGGATGAGCAGTTTCCAATATGTAAAGAAAATCTCTTCATAATTTCTTTACTAAATCTGTGTCCCAGAGGAAAAAAAAAACAACTAAGCATGGTCAGAACCACTCTCAGGGCTCTTCAAGGTGCAAAACCAGTGTAATGGCATTGCAAGATGGTCTTGAGAAATAGATTGTTGATAGCACTTCAGAGCTGGCTCCTTAGTGGGTCCTTACACAACAGTGTCATTATGCTGAGGTAAGAGCCCAGAGCTGCTGTGTAAGCAACATCCTGAGAGATGCAATAGGGCTCCTGTTTGAAACTGGGATGAAAACTGAGCTGGATCCATGGGTTTTAAGCCCAGTCAGAGGCTTTGCAGTACATCCAGAGGCATCATCAGCTCACAGGATTGCTCTGCCTTGGCCACAACATAAGGTTGTGATTTTTCCATGCTTTATTGAGAAACACCATCATGCAGACCTGATCAGAACCACAAATCCTGGGTTTCCAGACCTGACATGGTGGGAGTGACATGTGTTTCTAGTGAATTTGGGCTTAGCTTTAGGTCTCAACCCACCTATGAGCTCTGCACCCCTTTATATTAGACATCCACGAAGGTGGTGATGGCATAGCAAGGTCAAAATCCCTCCCTAATTAATTTTCTGATTGAGCAAATTCTCAGTGTCCTGGAATTGTTTGATAGTAGTGTCATCTAGGCACCATATGCTGTGCCTTTTGCTCCCAATGCTCCATGATTTTTAGACATAAGACAGTAGGTTTGGAATGGATATCAGGAAAAATTTTTCCTGTCAGGTTGGTGAGACCCTGGCACAGGTTGCCCAGAGAAGCTGTGGGAGCTCCAATCCTGCAAGTGCTCAAGGCCAGGCTGAACAGGGCTTGGAGCCACCTGGGATAGTGGAAGGTGTCCCTGCTCATGGCAGTGGGTGGAATGAGATGAACTTTATTATCCCTTCCAATCCAAATTGTTCCGTGATTCCATGACATCCTGCTTACAGCAGAGGTGTTTGCTGCAGCATCATCTCATCTCCTCCACCAAGATGCAGAATTATGCACCACTTGTGGCACAGTGGATTTTTGGCTGTTTACAGTCCAGAAAAAATAGTCCGACTGGCAAAGTCTGGTGGCTGAAGTAACTTGGGCTGTGTGGAGTGGGTGGCTTGTCCTCATGGCTGGACAGGGACGAGCTGTGGAGAAGGACTTGGTCATTCTCCTGTTGTACAGAGAGAGGGGCCATCAAAATTTGTCCAGGTTCTCTTTCAGTGAAGTCAGCATCAGTTGCATCCCTGCTGAGTGGAGGTGGATGGTGGTGGTACAGCTCCCACCTGCAAATATGTGGCACTCCAAAAACAGGCAGGGGGAGCTGGCTCTGGAGGAGTGGGAAGGCAGTAGCTTTAACAGAAATATAGAAAAATGTTTTAAACATTTTGGTGCTTTACTGGTGTCCCAGTTTTGAGAAGGAGAGGGAAAAATCTTTTCGGGGAGGTAGTGCATCACTGCTCTATCTGCTCTGACATTCAACTGCTTGCAGGTTACAAGTCCTGGAGAAAATTCTGTGGGCTCTCACAGCCCTCTGGAGTGGAGTCACTCGGGCACGTGTTGAGGAATCAGAACCTGGCAAGGAAATTCCTGAAGCTCTATGGGACACCAAAGAATATTGACATCTGGATTGGGGCCCTTGCAGAGCCCTTTGTGAAAGGAGGCCGGGTGGGGCCTCTCATGGCCTGTCTCATTGGCACCCAGTTCAGGAACATTCGTGATGGGGACAGGTGAGAGGAGAGCTGGGTGTCCCAACCCCAGAGCACAGGGAGGCTGGAGTTTATGCAGATTTCTTCACACAGATCTGAAAACTACTCCGGTTGTTTGTTGCTTATTTTTTAATACTCCTTCAAAAGTTTCATTCTTTTTGTAGTCATGTTCTTATTCCCTGTCGGATGGTTGTGGTCCTGGGCTGAGATCCCTTCCCAGCAAAGTGCTATCTCACTATTTCTTCTTCCCTCCCCCAGTTCTGAACTGGAACCCTCAGCTCTGATACGTGGCAGTGTTTGATCTTTGCTTGTGATGGATGTGGTGGGTTGGGGTTTTCTTGTCAGCCAAAATCACTTCTGCAGTGCTGAGGTTTCAACACACCTGAGCTCCTCCTCCTCCTCCTTGAGGTTGCTCAGGGGCTTCAGGTGCAGCAGTGAGTTACATTCCCCATTTTATGCTGGAATTCTGAAGCAAGATCCCTGTACCTGCCAGCAATATTGCCTGAAAATGGGATCACAACCCATGTTTCTGGGAAACACTTCTGCTGAGAAAGACTTAGTACAAGCTGAAACTCCAGGATGAGGAACTTAGGGTCAGTCTGTTGCACATCTAGAAATCCTGTTCTTATGGCTGGAAACAAACCCTTTTCTAAAAAATTGAATAATTACAGGGCTTGTTCCAACATGACACTCATTTGGCTGTGGCCACAGCCTGTGTACAGTCTGTGCAAACTTTCCTATTTGAAAGAGGGTACCTGTGCCTCATCTGAGGACAATTAATTAAATTGCAGCTTTGTTACCTGTCCATGGCCAAAAGAAAAGCAAGGTAATTGTGGGAATCTTAAAATCAGAGGGTTTTGGGAAAGCTGCAAAAGGCAGACCTCAGAGACAGCAGAACTGTGATTGGAGCTAAGCAGTAGTCATAGGATTTGTCTACTAGGATTTTCTATATCGCAGAAAAATTATATGAGAAGTAGAAAAGTAAGGACAAATAGAACAATGGTCTGTGTATTAACGCTTGAATAGAATAACTCATTAAGCTACAGCAAAGTACATCTAGCCAGATGTTAGGAAGTTCTAACCTTAATAATGGAGCTCTGTGCATTGTCTCTTAAGGCTTACAAGCAGGTCTTTTATTCGAAAGAAGCGAGCATTGTTTTAACCACAGGTACATGTGTTTATAGCGATTGGATAGAACTGCTGTCAATCTGCTTTTGCTTTGTGTGATTGGTCAAAAAACTTCTAAAGTAAGTTGTAACCTTAAGTTCTTTGTCTGCTGCTGGCATCTTCCCATTGTCATCACCATGTAATGAGACTGATGCTAGAAAATACAACAGCTTGAGATGCCGTCCCCAGCAGTCCCATCCTGTTTGTGATTTGTGCTCAGACCCCGGCCGACGATAAATGGAGCATCAAACTCATGACCTTCAGGTTGTGAGACTGACAATTATCCAATTGTCGAGTCAGGGCTCTTGATTTAAATAATATAAATTCAAATTTGTTCTTGGCAGAAGAAATTAGTGTTAATGGGAATTAATATTGTGGAGTCATCAGTGTGAAGAAGGCAGAAGGCAAAAATCTGTTGTGTCTTCTTTCTCCTTCAGGTTTTGGTGGCAGAACCCCGGAGTTTTCACTCCTTGCCAGCGCCGTTCACTGGCCAAAATCTCCTTGTCACGAATAATATGTGACAATACCCACATCACTAAAGTATCAAGGAATATCTTCCAGGCTAACAGATACCCCCATGGCTTTGTGAGCTGCAGTCAGATCCCAAAGCTGGACCTCAGACCCTGGAAGTCAAAGAGCACCGAGGAGCAAGGTACGATCTGCAAACCGCAGCAGGTCATGCCTGCAGACACCTGTGAAAGCCAGACCCTGTGGTTTAAAACTGAGCTCCCTAACATGGAGCTGGACCTGTGTGCCAGGCACAGCTTTAGATGCTCCAGTTCACTAGGTGTACTTAGAGTGGCTCCTACAAAATGCAGATTTTCTGGCAGAGCAAGCCAAGTGCCCTATTCTGAGATTTTTTTTCTAACAAGGAAAGGCTGAGGGAGCTGGGGCTGCTCAGGCTGGAGAGGAGCCCCAGCTGAGAGGGGCCCTCAGGCCTGGCTGTCCCTGTGTGCAGGGAGGGGCAGAGCAGGGCCCAGGCTCTGCTCCAGGCCCAGCAGCGGCACCAGAGCCACGGGCAGGGCCTGAGCCCAGCACTGCCCCTGCCCAGGAGGCACAACTTGTGCCCTGGGCAGTGCCCAGCCCTGAGCAGGCTGCCCAGGGAGGGGCTGGAGTCTCCCTCAGCACTGGGGATCCTGCAGAGCCCTGTGCACACAATGCTGTGCCCTGTGCTCTGGGATGGCCCTGCCTGAGCACGGAGGTGCCACCAGGGACCCTCTGGGACCCCGCCCAGCCTGAACCGTTCTGGAATTCTGGGACTTTTTTCTGATTAATAGACTTTCCATTTAGTTCTTCACTAGTGATGCCAGGGTTTACTCCATGGGAAACAATGCCCACACTGGGAAGGGTGCTCTGTCTGTCTGTCTGTCAGTCAAGATGCTGTTTGTCAGCACATCCTTGTAAGGCCAAAAGCAACTCAGCATTTGAAAATGAATTCCCAGTCTATAGAAGGGCTTCTGGTTTTGATCTCTGCTTGTACAGTTGTCACCTATTTTTACACTATTTCTCTTACGTGCCTTTAAGATTTGTGAAATTCTTAAGATCTAACTTCTTCCAAAATGCTCCCTGAAATCCCTGGGAAGTAGATGTAGGGAAGAGTGGCTCTCCCTGGAGAAGTGCAAGCTGTTCCTGTGTATTTTCCAAGCAAAACATCCTTGCTTTCCCCTGACAGTCAGGTCCTGCCACACTCTCATAATACCAAATTTTGATCCCTCCTTTCCAGCCTAAACTGTGGAAACAAATTCCACAAGGTATCAGGGAGATATGGCAGGTTCTTATCTATTAACACAATGCTTTTTATCTCCTCTAGAAAAAGATTCTGGTGACTTTAAATGCTGAATGCTGAGGATTTCCCAGATGTCCAGACTTGGGAAGCTGCTGAGGTGGATTATTAATTTTTACTGTGTTTATGCTTTCACTGCCTGCAATGTTTGGGCACAGTTCTGTCATTTGCTCAGCTTGATTTGCATGAAGCCTGAAGTGGGATGCAGCCCAGGAATAAAAGAACTTAGTGAAGGGATATCCCAGATCTGTGAAATCACTCAGTATCACAAAGCCAAGTGAAATGAGTTGTCCAGAGGCTGATCCCAAGTCACACCAGCTGCTGGCTTAGGCCATGGAACCACACAATGCTTCACCAAGATTTACCATCAAACATGTTTTCGACCTTTCTTTTAAAATTTTCAACCCCCAAAGACAGATCAAGGCATTGGAACAACAGTAGATTTTTTGTTCTCCAATTTTTTTGTTTGAAAGAAATAAATTCATCAGTTTTCAGAGAAAATGTACTAATGGTAGGATGCCTCTGACAGAAGAAGAAATAGCTGTCCTGCACCCCAAACACACTGTCCTAAAATCCCCTGTGTCAGGTTTTGCTCCAATATGGAAGGAAGAAATTTGCCATATGGGTGAGAGTTTTCTCACTATTATTTCTCATAGTCCAGAATGCCCAAAACATCCTCTGATGTGACAGAAACCTGTGACAAATTATTCCTGAGGCCTGGCATGAGCCAGAGTGACTCAGCACTGGCCTGTACAGCTGGCAAAGATAAAAACAATCTGAACATACAAGAAAGTAGTAACTATTCTGATTTCAATCCAGCTTTTTGCCTTTTCCTGAAAGGGATCAAACCCACTTTCTCCTTCCTCTGTAATCTGCTATATTCCTAGTTTTGCTTAATAAATTGCAATTTTGGGCTGAGGCCAAAATGTTCTTTACATTTCATAAAAGGTGCAGCAACCATACGTGAGTGGGGGATGGTGGTAGGTTTTCTGTGGGAATATTGGGAAAGGGCAGTTCCAGAAGCTGTGTGTTGTTCATGAAAGAAGGTATTTCTTGCTGAAGCCTCTGACCCCAACTCCTGTGTGAAAGTCAGCACTGATGGGTGGGAGGTACTGGCTGGGGTGTCCCAGTGTCTCCAGCTCTGGTTTGCCATCCTGGTTGTCTAATTGTGGCATAGCTGTGTGTCTGCTCAGCCCACCTGGGACAGAGTATCATTCAATACCTGTCAAATTCAGCAGTTCCCCTCTGGGGCAGGATGTGACTGGCTCAAAAGCACCTGCAGCCCCTCTGTGTGCACTGAGCACAGACAGATGATTTTTTCTTTCTAGCCAAGCTGAAATTTGGACAATTTGACTTATTTATCAACTTGATCAAAGATATACAATGCTGGTACAGCAACATGGGGACTGTACCAGACACAGGGTGCCTGGCATGTGGAGCTCCTGAGGTGGGGGCTACCTCCTGCAGGAGCTGGGATGGGATGGTTTGCCTTGATCAACCTCTGCTGCTGGTTTCAGGACGGCATCTCTCCCTCCCAGCTCTGCTGAGGCCTCATTCACTTTCTTTCTCACCAGCAGCCTCCCCCAGCTGGATGTCCGTCCCAAGTTCATCCTGTCAGGTCCTTCTCCCAGTGCCAACTACATTATTCCTCAGTGGATGCCCGCCAAGGTGGTCAGTGGGGTGCAGAGACAGGCTGAGAAAGCTGGATCTGCTCAGTCTGAAGAATGAGAGGGGGAGTGATTTATGTCTCTCTAAGGAGTAGCTGTGAAGGGGCTCACAGGGAAAGGACAAGAGGTAACAGATGCAGGTTACACCAAAGGAAGTAACCTTCAGACAAAGACAAACATTATTCCCTGTGATAGTGATGTGATGCAGACACAGGGATGAGAGAAATCTTGGGATCTCCAATCTTGGGTACTCTTCCAAAGTATCTAGGCCTTGAGCAAACTCCCTGGATTTTCAGTTAACCCTGCTGTGAGTAGCTGGTTGACCTGCAAACCTCCTGATGTCCTTCTCCATGATTTACAGTCCTTCCTGTGATTTACAGTGGTAAACTGTTGTACTTCCTAGCCAGAGTTCACCTGGCTGGGCTCCAAGCTATCCTATGTATGCAAGTCCTGCAGCCCAGGCTGTTCCATGCTGTTGCATTCTTTTCTGTCAGACCTGTCTTGATACCACAGAAATCTTGATGAGCCAGAACACCTTTTCTTGTAAAACCTCTTCTCTTGTCATTACAAGCACTTCCAGCCATGCCTTTGCTCATAAATTGGTCTCTGAAGGGAATCTGTGCCTTGTAAAACTGAGGGTTATATGGATTCGTTGTGGAGCTGCAGCCAGAGCATCCTAAGCAGTTTCCTCAGTCTTGATGACCTTTGTCTAATATCTTTACCCTGGAATCCCTCTGAAGGTTTTAGTATCAACCTTAATGCCTCTAAGTGAGGAGTAAGGAATGAATTCCCTTTGACCTGTTCACACTTTGGAGGCTGCTGTCCTTGGCCAGACCAAACACTGCCCTTTGATAACTTATCATAGAAACATGGAATATTCTGAGTTGCAAAGTCCAACTTCTGGCTCTGCACAGACTCCTGTGCCAGAGAGCATTGCCCTGGAGCTCTGGCAGCCTTGGGGCCATGTCCATTCCCTGAGGAGCCTGTTCAGTGCCCCAGCACCCTCTGGGGGAAGAACCTTTCCTGATATCCAGCTAAAGCCCCCAACACAGCTCCAGCTGTTCCCTTGGGTCCTGGCCTTGGTTACCAGACACAAGAGGTTGGTGTCTGCCCCTCTGCTTGTTCCAGTCTGTTTCAGAGTAGGTATTTATGCCAGCAATTTTCAGTGGGAATCACTCCCATTTCAAAATCCAGTCCTCATATTTTGTGTTGGACCCATTGCTTTGCATTTGGAAGTCATTGTGATCTTCAGCTTCACCAACTCCTCTGTCTCATACATTCATGTGCTGACAACAGTCCATCCTCTTCTGAGCCTTCATATGGTGAACAAGACAATTTTCTTGGCCTTTTCCCACCACATTTTCCCAAAAAGGATCACTTTCCCTGCCTCCCCTCTCTCTTCTGGCCAATGTGTGGCTGAGCAGATCTGGGGAGCGGGAGAGTCATTAAAATTCAGTGACAAAAGCTCACGCCGTGAGCAAGTCCCTCATCTCCCTATCTGAGATTCACTTAAATTAAGCCAGGTCCTGGAAAAGGTGCAAAGACCCAGGGCAGAAAGGAGTCAGCTGGGCATGGACACACTTGGTCTGGAGACTAGGATCTTCGTTGGAGCTGCAGTTTCTGAAAACACCTTGCAGGTTAGGCTAGAGCTGACTTCTTCTGAAATGGGAGCAGGATGGATCCAGGTGCTGGGGATCCTTGCAACAGGAGAAAATTACAGCTGCAGACTTTGCTATCTGTGGGTTTGGAGCCTGAATGTTGTGTTAGATCTGAGCTGCGTGTCTGTCCATGGTGAATTGGGAACGTCCTTGGCTTTCTCCGTGCTCATCAGAGACAATTACCAGCTGTTGGAATCAAAAACCTCCTTACTCTGCACAGCTCCTGACAGGAGGGGGGAGCCAGGGGGAATTTGGGCTCTGCTCCCAGGGAACAGGGACAGGAGCAGAGGGAACGGCCTCAGGCTGGGCCAGGGCAGCTCAGGGGGGACAGCAGCAGGAATTTCCCCATGGAAAGGGGGCTCAGCACTGGCACAGCTGCACAGGGAGGTTTGGAGTCCCCATCCCTGGAGGTGCCCAGGGAAGGGCTGGAGGTGGCACTCGGTGCTCTGGGCTGGGGACAAGGTGGGGATCAGGCACACGGTGGGTTCAGTGATCTTGGAGGTATTTTCCAACCTCAGTGTTCCTGTGAAGTCATTGAAAATTGCTGACAGTGACTTAAAATAAACCTTTTCAGTGGTCTGTGAGCTGTTGTGAACTTGCAGACTTCCTTGTACCTGACATTATGGGTGGGTTTCTATGTGCAGAGTTGTGTCAAAGGTTTCTTCTACAGCAGGAGCCTCACAACAGCACCCTGCTTTGGAAACCACTGCCATTAGTGCAAGACAGCCATTCCACTCCTTTCACTGGCATTACATTTTAGGAACCTCTTTCTGGTAGGTCAGGATGAACCAGTTGTGCATCAAATCAACCTCCTCCCAGTTGCAAAAGGCCACAGTTTTGTGCAGATGAGATACAGGAAAGGTTGACAGACATAGAAAGGGAACTGTTTTCTGGATCAAACCTTGGAGAAGCTGAAAGAAGCCATGGTTTTTCTCTAAGCACTGGCTCCCCCAGGGACCTGGTCTCTCCAAGCACCAGTTCAGAGGGTCCCAGTGTGCACACATGGGGCTCTTGTAGTGTCCATGTGCTGGTGCAGGGACAGTTCAGAGGCTGTGGAGAAGCTCTTTGCTTTGGCTGCCTCTCCTGTGGTTGCAGGGAAGCCTTGGGAGAGCTGAGAGGAGAGGCTGCAGTCACCTCTCTTCAGTTTTCCAATGAAAATCAGGAGAAGAAGGGTCCATGGCTAAGACAGAGGAACAGGGAGCACAGGCAATGTCTTTCTATATTATTATGTCTTTCCTCAGTTTCTTCAGGAAATATCACTGAGTCTTGCCCATTTTACTGATGTGAAGGATTTGACTTTGTTTTTTCGGTTTTAGGCGATGGTCATTGTGGTTTTATGGGTCCTTGGGCTATTCCCTTTTGAGAATCTGCAGCTCTCAGACCTGGCTGGAATTGAGAATTATTGCTCCTTTCAAGTGCCAGCTCCTAGAGCAAAGCCTGGTGTGCAGATGATAAATCATGAAACATTTGTTTTTCAGCCCAGTCATTCTGGCTATTGCAAAGTTCCTTTTCATGCAGTTGTTTTAGGAGATGAAATGCAGTTGGAGCTGTCCCAGGTTATACCTGTATTTTCCTGATTTACTCCTTGCTTATGCAGATGCTGTCTGAACATGCATCTGCCTCTTGTCAGGAAAACATTGGGAGTCACTGCTCTTGCTTTTTTTTTTCTCTAGACTTGTGGCACTTTTCCCACTTTTCCCACTGTGCATGTGGAATGTCCAGCTGCTCAGTTTGGTCCCTCCAGTGCCTAGATGCATAGAGCAGGGTCTGACTGCTCAGATGACTGTTTTTCTCCCCTGAAAATACTGATTTCTGATTTCCTGGACACCTTGCAGCCATCTTGCTTGGTGAAGACCAATGTTTGCACAAAGTGAGACAGCCTGGAGTCATAGAATCATGGAATCATGGAACAGTTTGGGCTGGAATGGACTTAAATATCATCTAGTTCCACCCATGCCATGGGCAGGGACACCTTCCACTATCCTCCACTATCCCGGGTTGCTCCTTGCCCCAACCTGGTCTTTGACATTTCCAGAGATGAGGCGGCCACAGCTTCTCTGGGCAGGGTTTGTGCTGTCCAATACATCCTGCTCTTCCCCACTAAAGATTTTCTTACAATTCCTCCGGGTTTCTATTCCCAGAGCCCCCTGAAGGGGCTCTCCAAGCGCTGCCAGCCCCTGCACACAGACAGCTTTGCTGGTGTGTTTGCCCTGTTGCCGTCCAGCCCTCCCGGAGCTCTTGCAGTGCAGTTGCTAAACCAGCTTCCCACGGTGAGTGCAGAGAGCACAGCCTGGCTGTGCCTCACTCCCAAACCTCATTCCAGCTTTGCACCACCCACACACAGCTGATGGAGGGAGTCTCACCTCTGCTCTACATCACCAGCTGCTTGTGACTCATTCACTGCTCTGCTCAACACGCTCTGGGCTGGAAGGATGGAGCTTTTCTTCCTTCACTACCCCTTTACCTGTCTACTCATTGCCTTTTTAGTCCTCTACCAGGTGAAACCTGCATTCAGATTCTTCTGCAAGGCGACCTTTTATAAGTTGTGGCTCTTCACCATAGGCATTGCAGTTGCCATCCTCAGTATTCCTCGTGGACGTAACGTGGAAAACATGATGTAAGTTGTCTGTGGCTCGTTTCTGCCCTGAGCATGGATAGAGTCCACTCTGTCCAGTGCTTTGATTTGGAGGGTCCTGGGGGTGTGCTGGGGAGGGGAGGGATCAGTTTTGTAATGTTCTGGGGAGATGAGAGACTCTGTAATTCAGAGAAGGGGTGTGGGTTTTAATAGTGGTTTGGGGTTGATAAAAATAATAACAAATTAGGGAAAGAAAGGATGTAAAAGGTGACATAGATTTGCCAAAGCAGGTAATGCCAACAACCTGGATGGAATACATATTGCTGTTTTTACTAGAGCTCTCTCATCTGGTCTTTGGAGCTATATTTCCCTCTTCCCCATGGCTAAGCACTCTATTACTAACTTGTGTTGTGAAAGCCACGCCAGGGGCTCTTCCCATTTTCTACTCTGGGCCAGTGCACACCTGAGACATCACCATGGTGCAGTGCTGGCCCCTGCATGGGCACTGGTGTTCCCATCAGCTCAGTGACAGCCTGGTGTCCCAGGTCTGGCGGTCCCCCAGCCCATCCCATAGCTGCCCATCCTATCTCTCCAGATTCTATTCAGACTCTCTAAGATGTGCTCTCACCTGGAGACTGCATGAGCAGGAGTGATCAGTGGTGGCAATCAGGAACCTGGGCTGAGTGAGGATAAAAAGATGACTCTGCTACATGGTACCACAGTGCTTGAACCCTCCTGAAGTACTGCAGAAGCAGGACTTGCTATTCCATTTATGCTTCAGAGGGAATTCATATCTCCAAACTGAGCATCAGCCTTTTGCTTTGAGAAATTTTGTTTACCTCTTAACTTTGGTGCCTGATTATTTTTATATTATTTTAGCAATATCTCTTCAAATAAGACTCCAATATTGCAGGCTAATGTCATCTAAAGGCAAATCCCTCTCTTTCCACAGCCAGCAAGGTTAGGCACATGTTTACTGCAGCCCTATTCCCAAACCAGCAAGGTGGGGAGAAAAGCAGAGTGCGAAGGTGTGCTGTGAATCTGGGCATTATCTAATATTTGGTTGATCTGTGGAACTTCTGAAGCTGTAGTTGCTGGGTCATTTGTGGGTCATGTGGCTTGAGGGAAACCTGCAAGGTGTATTTGTCTTCTGTAATTAAATAATTAGCTGCAGAGGGACACTAATTGTTCTCCAAGTCATGGTCAAATGCATGTCAGTGGGAAACCAGCAGAAGCAGAGTGTGAGGTGGGCTGGCTTGGATGCAAAGTTTGGTCCCAAATTTCAACATCTCTTTGGCTAATTTCCACTCCTCTTTTCCAGGTTTTTGCGCATATTGACCATGCCACTCAAATACATCTTTGGCATTCAGATAGTGGTGAAGGGCAAGGAGAACCTCAGGACAAAGAAACCTTTTGTCCTGGTGCTGAATCACCAGACCTCCCTTGACATCCTGGGTATGTGGTGATCCTGCCTCCTGCTCCAGGCAGGCAGAAGGGCAGGAGTGGCTGCTACAGAGCCCTTCACCAGCCAGCCCCAAGCCAGGGCTGGTCTCCAGGGTACCAGAGGCATTTTCAAGCTACATCAGCTTCACCCTCTCCAAGGGAATGGGGACAAGGCTCTCAGCTGACCACAGCCCTCTCATAGCTGCTCTCCTTCAGTGCCAGTCCTGAGTGGATGGTCGGGAGCACCCCAAAATTCCCCAGGGATTCTATGAAGCTTCAGGCATGGCACTCCCTAGAGCAGAGGGCTGTTGCCCAGAATCTAGAGGAGTCCTGAGTGCAGGTGATGATTTGTTCTGCTCTGGCTGTCCCCTTGCAGTGATGATGGAGATACTGCCCAGGCGCTGTGTGCCCATTGCAAAGAAGGAGATCCTGTACATGGGCACGTTCGGCCTGGCCTGCTGGCTCTCAGGGGTCATCTTCATTGACCGCAAGAGGAGGGAAGAGTCCATTGGCACCCTGACAGAGGTGGCACACTCCCTGCACAAGGACAATGTGAGTGGGGAGGAGTCCAATGAGGAGCCACTGGAAAACAGGAATCTGAATGTGGGTGGAAAGAGATCTTTGTCTCTGGGCTGGGCACTGAGCAGAACAGAGTGAGAGCATCAGTGTGCTCTGTGCCCATTAAGGGAGGTCAGGGGTACAGAGATGAGCCCCAGGGCACCGACCCTCTGCAGTGGCTTAGAATTGTACCTGGAGGTCCTTCTGCCCTAATGTCTTCTCCTTCCTGCAGTTGCGTGTCTTGATCTTCCCTGAAGGAACTCGCAACCATGGTGGCTCCATGTTGCCCTTCAAACGTGGGGCCTTCCAGCTGGCTGTGAAAGCCCAGGTGAGACCCACCTTCCTTCTGCCCCTGGAGTGTGATTTGCCTCCTGTGGTCCACCAGCAAACCAGGGTACTGGTCCCTGGCTTCCCTATGGATTGTGTACATATCCAGAAGCCCTCGGGGTTTGCAGGTGGCACAGGAGGGGTCTGTTTCAGAAACAGAGAGACAAGTGAAAAACCTCTGTTACAGCTTGGGATAAAAGTGGGGGGACCTTGACAAGAGCCCTGGACTTCCATAGGGAAGTTTCTGCTGAGCTGGCCTCTGCAGATAGAAATTTGACAATCCACTGTTGTTGGCCTAAATGCAGAGATGAAAATTCAAAATCCAGTGGCAAGGACATGGGATGATACAGTTAAATGATCTAAATATTCAAATAATCCTCTGAGTGTCTGCTGTGACACTGATGGTGATAATTATCAACAAGGTGCAGAATTGCCCTGAAAACATTAGTTGAATTTTGGAGAAAGGATAAGGAGATGTGCATATTCACTGTAGACTGCCTCCCCTCCAGGTCCCCATTATTCCTGTAGTGTTGTCGTCCTACAACAACTTCTACAACCAGAAGGAGAAGAAATTTACACCAGGTGAGGATGACCTGGGGCAAAGAATGGAGTGGTCATGTAAGCTCAGTCCTTAGAGCCATGACTAGGGTGGGCAGAGGACCACATTTAATATGGAGATGGCACCCAGAAAACAGCAGTTTCTGTCTTCTTGGGGTGAAATGGGACATTTCAGGCATCACTTTTTCCTCTCCCCTTGGATTTCTCACTGCTTGTCCAATACCTGTCCAAGAGAACTTGGAGAAGCAGCAGAGTCCTGCCCCTGACCCCCCCCCCCCCCGACTGCCCTTGGATCTGCAGGTGCATGGAGAGCTAGGAAACATTTATAGTAACAAAAATTTCAACTGGCCACTGATAAAATTTTAGGGGGAAAAATAACACAGGTCTTGGACTTCAGAAGGAAAATGCAGAAAAATATGGTACAAATACCAACAGAGAAAAGTAACCCATCATGTTCCTTCTCTCCCTTAGCTACCACCCATCTTAAAATGGACTTCTGCCACTTGCCACTCTTTCCCAGGCCATCCCTGGTGTTCCTTAAGGGGAGGATCTATATCTGAAATTCTCATTCCTCCCATTGTTGGGCCTGGGTGTAGTCATTCCCTGGCAGGCAGACACCTGGAAAGACAGAGTGGTGCAAATGATAAATATGGAATTGCGTTTCCGGTCATCTTTCATCTGCTGGGTTTATCCTCTCCCTGTTCACACGCAAAAGTCTTTTCGATCTGGAAGTGTTCCCCCACTTGAGAGTCAATAGGACCATGACCAGGGATTCTGCCAGACTCCTCCTTTTCCTTCACATCCATGCTCTGGGAAATCAGAGGATAACCTCGGGCAGAGGGATCTTGGAAGAAGCTGAACATTTTGCTTTAAGCAAGGCCAGGTCTAAAGACAGATGAGTTAGCTTTGTGACCAGTCCAGAAAATGTATTTACTCCAAGGATGGAGATTCCAAGAATTTCCTGAGGTATTTAAGAAAGACTTTCTGCAGCCACATGTATATTTGCTTCTATACAACTTCAGTCACCCTGGAAATTCATGGTTAGCTAATTCCACTATCAGCAGATCTCTGAGCCATTTTCCAAATGGCTGTTAAACAGTCAGGACCTGAACTGCTGAAGAAAGAATCCTTGTACTTTTCCACTTTTCCCATCTGGAAGTTTTGCCAGAGCTGATTCTGAAGATGGTGGTCAAGATTCCTGCAAGCCGAGCAGCTCCGTGGGTCAGGACAGCTCCCTGTGCTGCAGTGCTCTGGCTGCACTGAAGGCCTGGCTCTGTGCCTGTGTTGGACACTGTCATTCATGGAACGTGTCTGGTGCTTGCTGGCAGTCTGCTCCCAAGAGACCTGAATTTTTAGCACAGCCTTGTCATCACTCTGATCTTTTAGCAGGAGCAAGTGAAGTGAAGTACCAGCCTGGCTTTGGGTGTAAGGTGTGCAGGCAGGTAACACAGAATCATGTAATCACAAAAGGGTTTATGTTGGAAGGGACTTGATGCTCATTTCATTCCACACCTTACCATCTTCCACTAGACCAGATTGCTCCAAGCCCCATCCAACATGACAAACCATTTTCTTTTGTGAAGTTCTCTACGCTTGTTTTGCCTCCTTCCCACAGTTCTGCTGACAGGACTGCTGGATCTCTTTCCAGGCACACGTGTTAAGCCATGCAAGAACATTATAACACATCACAGGCTCTCCCCAGATCCCCAGGTTCCTGTCTGTGCAGGCACTGTCTTGTCTCCACTGGCCCAAAGTGGGAACTCTCGGTGCCAGAACAGAAGAGCATGGTGGCAGCTCCCCAGTATGTTCTTCCAGTTTACACCAGTCCATTGCTTAGGTGCTTCCCCAGAGAAATCTAACATACCATGGAATCCTGGCCACAATTTCTCCCATCCCAAAGTGTGTTTCTAGAAGGAGGGACCATGCTAGATTTGGTATACATAGAGAGAGCACAGCCAGTTTGGATGTGTTGTATTAAACATCTTCTCTTTGCTCATGATCTAGACAGACTCTGTGACCTATCCTATATGAACAGACACTGTGAAAACCTATCCTATATGAAACCCATCCTATACTGCATTGTGTTGGAGGAGAGATTCACCTCTTTCCATATTTATGATTTGTATGCTCTCAGTGGATGGGAAAAGCCCAGGCTGGGTTTTTGCTGTGTACATTTGGGATGTGACTGGGCTCCCACACCACTGGGGTGGGAATGAGAGCATTTCCTTGGTTGGCACCAACCCTCCTGCTGTGCTGCCTCTGGCTCATCCATACCACTCGTGGGGTTTTTTTTCTCCATCTCATGTTCTTCCAGGAAAGATGATCATCCAGATCCTGCCCGAAGTGGAGACGCTGGGCCTGGGCCCAGACGATGTTCCCAAGCTGACGGAGCAGGTCCGTGACTCCATGCTCTCTGCCTACCAGGGCATATCGGGAATGACCAATGGAGCTTCCCATTAGCAATCCCATCTTCCAGCTCCAGCTGTGTGTGCTGCAGTGGAGGGGAGGCCATGACAACCACAGGAAGGTCTGGCAACAGAGACAATTGTGGATTGCAACACTGACAAACCAGAGACAGGTAAAGAAGAGCCTTCTTCACCAAGAAGAGAAGCTTCCAACGGGAATGTTCTTAGTTCCTCCTAGAGAACACCACTCTCGCTGCCACCCAGTGAGACAGACACACAGTGGACAGCTGGACATTTCTGTGTAATCATATTGCTGAGAATGTCCCACCAGCTGGACCCCAGGCAGAGCTGGGCCCTTCCTGTCATCATTGCTGCCTGCTTATAACCACCTTTCCCTGTTCAGATCCAACAAGGTGGAAGCACTGATCCTAAGCCTGTGACCATGCTGCCTGGGAAGTGGCTGTTCTGGGGTTTGAGGTTTGCCCACATTGCCCTGGAATACACTCAGGAGATGGTGCTGTTTTCTTCTTCTTCCATGGGGAGGATTTGAGAGGTGCCTCTGCCATGAGAGACAGAAACCAAGGCAGCTTTGGGAGAGGGGAATTAAAGACCTTACATGTGTCTACAGGGCTTGGTGGTTTCTTTGGCATATTTAGCTTTCCTTTTAAGCTGTGGAAGATTTTGCTTTCAGGGCTGAGCACATCTTCAAAGTGCAAGAGGGACATGTCTGGGGGCTCAGAAACCAGAGGCAAATTGCAGGAGTATGCTGCCTAATATCCTTGCTATACCCAGATGGAACTGGAACTGTTCCCTGTTCTATTCCCTGGAACTGTTCAAAAGATGTGTGTATCTGGTGCTTAGGGACATGGTTTAGCTGTTGACCTGGCTGTGCTGGGTTAATGGACTCGATGATCTTGGAGTGCTTTTCCAGCCTTACTGATTCTGCAATTCTGTGATGATTCTATGATAACCTCATGACTTTTAGCACAATCTTTATATCTTTCAAACACACACTGGGAACTGCAGCTCCTGATTTCTGAGTCCAACCTTCTGTTTTCTCTGTCAGAGGATGCCCACCAGCCACGATGTGATTTGCTTTTTTTGTGCTGCTATGAACCATAGCCAAAGACTGTTTTGGGCACAGTTGTGACTTACACAGAATCACACACATATTCACAGAATCATTAAGGTTGGAAAAGCCCTCTAGGATCAATGGAGTCAAACCTGTGACTGATCCTCACCTTCTCAACCAGCCCAGAGCTCTGAGTGCCACCTCCAGCCCTTCCTTGGACCCCTCCAGGGATGGGCACTCCAGACCTCCCTGGGCAGCCCCTGGCAGTGCTGAGCCCCCTTTCCATGGGGAAATTCCTGCTGCTGTCCCCCCTGAGCTGCCCTGGCCCAGCCTGAGGCCGTTCCCTCTGCTCCTGTCCCTGTTCCCTGGAGCACAGCCCGACCCCCCCGGCTGTCCCCTCCTGTCAGGAGCTGTGCAGAGCCACAAGGGCCCCCTGAGCCTCCTTTGCTCCAGGCTGAGCCCCTGCCCAGCTCCCTCAGCCCCTCCTGGGGCTCCAGACCTTTCCCAGCTTCATTCCCTGCCATGGCCATGCTCCAGCCCCTCAATGTCCTCTCTGCAGTGAGAGGCCCAAAACTGAACGCAGAATTTGAGGTGAGGTCTCAGCAGTGCCAGATGGGGACAGGCACTGCCCTGGTCATGCTGGTCACAGTGTGTCTGGCACAGCCCAGGTGCCATTGGGCTCTTGCCCACCTGGACACACTTGGGATCTTGTTCAGCCACTGTCAACCAGCTCCCCCAGGCCCTTTTCTGATAGAAGGATTTCCAACCCCTCTGTCCCCAGCCTGTCATTGATGCCAACTGTAGGTGAGTGCACAAGGATGTGTTTTATTACTGCCCAGAATACCCAAACCACACAGATTCACTGCAGGATTTTAATAAAACTTGTTTCAAAGCTTCAAGATGCACCTGCCATGCTTCAGTGACTTCAAATGCTGAAATCTCACTGCTGATTAGAAGCAGCCTAAACAGCTCCTTCTCTTGTGCAAAACCAGGAGATTGGAAAAGTTTTGGTGAAGATTACATGAATGTGCTAATTTCTGAGCAGGTAAAAGGATAAGGAGTTTGATTTTGCAATGCAAGCATGCCAGCATGCAGGTTTGACGCCCATTCAGGATGGAAAGTAAAAAATCTTGTCATAATTACACTTTTAGAGAGTCAGAAAGCCTCTGATCAATTCTTTAGGGCAACAGAAAATAAAATATCATTGCCCTTTCATCTGAAGACTTACATTACTGGAAGTTTTTTTCAAAGAAATTATATTTTTTTAAAAATCACATTACAGTAAATAAAACAGAATGCATAGTCTTGAGCTTCCCTCTGGGAAACCATGTGCTGATGTTCAGTCAGCAGCAGCCACTGGAGCGTGATGTCCAGGCAGGAGTTTCCCAGGAGCAGCTCAGTGCCACCATCAGGGGTTTCCAACGCTGGTCTGATGAGTAGGATTAGAAACTACAAGAAAAATAAAGCAAGAAAATAAAAAGCAAGAAAAATAAAGCAAGAAAAAGCTGCTGAGAGGCACAAAGTCTTTCCTGGATACACTACTAGTTTTTTCCACCTTTTTCTCATCCCTGTATCCTTGCGCCTCTGAGACATTGTGGTCCTTCCAGCCTTAGAATGAGTGGTTTGGGAGAATTTCTTGACATTTCAAAAGGTTAAACTTCTAACAACTGCTGTTAGCCCTGGAATTTAACTCTCTCTGGGTTACACAAACACTTTGACTTCCCCCAAGCCTGATGAGAAAAGAGCCACTGGAAGCAGCTCAGCACATTTTAGTGACCATAAAAATATGATAAAAAAAGAAATGAAAAAAACTCTGTTGTATAGAGGGAAGGTAAGCTGGACTCATATCCTAAAGAATGAGGTGAAGCCACCATGATTTAGCCTTTAAGTGCAAATATCTGTCTTAAACAACAGTGTTTCCCTCAAATAGTTACTCAAACTCAATACAGGAACTGCATGGAGATGCTTTGTTGTCTGTGCCTTGCAGAAGGACAGTGTAGGTGATCCCTAGGTATTGTGATCATCTATAAATGGGTTGTCAGAAGGAAAAATAATCCAATCCAGTACAGTGCATTCTTCAAGCCTCTCCACATCATTTCAGTTGGGAGACCCATAGTCAAGAGTGTTTTAGTAGGACCCTGAGTGTCCACATCTCTGACAAAGACATTGTTTTACTGTGGCACACCTTTGATCAGCTTTGTTCAGCTATTGGTGTGTGAGGCCATACAGTATCAAAACTACTCCAGATATACCTTAAACTGATTTAAAGGTTTGGGGAAGATGAGGAGAGAGCAGGAGCTTGGAGCAGCACAGTAAGACTTGGGAGCAGGTTGGCTAATTCTAGTTGCTTTTTCATCAACACCTTTCCTGTCAGAAATGACTATGAAATAAGGTCTTTAGAGGACACATTCCCAAGGTCCAGAACAGTCTGGATTTTGAGGGATTTCCCATCTGCTTGAAAGGAAGAGGCAGGGAATAAGGTGTGATGAAAGTGATGGATTGCCTGGAAAACCAGTTAACAGCACCTCTGCCTCCAGTGCTGTCTGAGTGTAGCTAAAAGGACAGTCATCGTCTTTTGGGGGTAGAATCATTGTGGAAACCTTAATTCTTTCAATTTTTTAGGTGTGGAAAAGACCTAATAGTGCATTTATTATTTTTGACAGGTCTTAGACCACTGGTACCTTTTGTGGCACTCTCAGGCTCATCTTTCCAGGATGAGAGGTCGAGCACATCAATCTCTTGGCAATCAGTGAAGTCCTCAGGATAAGTGTTGATCTTGAACACATCCCTGGGTATCTTTTTGATATGAGTATTGTCACAGATCACCCTTGACACTGAGATTTTTCTCAATGCTTGCAACTGTTGTGGAGTGAAAACTCCTGGGTTTTCCCACCAGAATCTGCAATGAAATTTTCAGAAGCAGTTTATAATCTCTGGCTACTTGCTGAGAACCTGACCAAGGTGAGTCTGAATGGTCATTAATCCATTTTCCCTAGGAACACCACTTTAGAAAAGGCATCTCCAGTGTAGGCAGATCTGGGTTCTGCCAGTACAGAGAGCCTGCCTCTTCCACACAGCATCACCAGACTGCTGGGATGCAGGGATTTATGCCCTGAGAGCAAAAAAAACCTCAGGCAGAGGCCACAGCAGATCCCCCATGATCTGGAGCTGGTACTCCCCAGCCACATGAATCTAGAGAAACAGGCTGACAAAAACAGTCCTTTGGCAACTGGGCTGAAATTAAGGGATGAGCCTGGCTGGGAGCACTCCCTGGAGTGCTGTGAATGGGTTGGATTAGTGTGTCACAGGAAATGTTAGCATTTACCCCCTAAAAAACGCCACAGGAATGTATCTCTCACCTGTCCCCATCTCGCAGGTTCCTGAACTGGGTGCCAATAATGCAGGACAGGAGGGGCCCCACTCTGCCCTGGGGAACCACGGGCTCTGCAACTGCCCCAATCCACAGGTCAATATTGTGCGGTGTCCCATACACATTCATGAACTTCTTGGCCAGTTTGGGATTGCCCAGTACCTCAGATAGTTCTTCTACAGTTTGGGGTTGGGATAGCCCACAGAAGCCCCTCCAGGCATTGTAACCTGCAAAAGCAGGAGCAGCAGATGACCAGGACTCACCACCACATCTCCACAGCACCTTTCTTGGCCCATGAGAACTGCCTGCTTCTTCTCATTGTATTAAAGGATCTGGAAGGCACTATTGTCTGGGCAGTCCCAACAAATGTCACATTTTCAAATATTTTCTCATATGTACACTAAACAAACAGTTTGGGTCATCTTTGTGACTACACCTCATCCTGTTGGTTAAATCTTTCTACTGCTGTGGGTGAATGCATCAGTCCTTGCAGCTTTGGGAGGCAAAATTTCTAGGATCAAATTCTTAGAAAAGAAGAAATTTGGTTGTGTTTAATCCAAAAGCACCTGTTCTTCTCTAGCACCTCGGGCAGTCCCACGTGTGGGTGCAAGTCGCTTCTGCTCAGGACTCTGGCTTGTCTGGGACACAAGACAAGGTTGTGGGCAAACAACAAATCACAGGGCAGGTGTCCAAGCCCATGTGAAAGCCTAATTTGGTCACTTGTGTCTCTACGTTCAGTCTCTCACCCACTTTCTTACATTATCCCCAATATCATCTTTGATTTCTAAGCCTTTTCTCCTTGTCGTATGTCTTACAAAAAGATTTTTATCATACAGAAACCTCTTATTCCCTGAGCTTGACTGTCTGTCCATCCTTCACCCTCAAATCAATGGGTTCTTCCCATTAGTATAGAAAAAGCTTAATTCATTCATGGAATAAGCAGAACAAGGAAAAAAGGTCTTATTCACAGGAGGTGTGGACTTGTGTCTCCTTACCTGGAAGGCCATGGTCTCTCCCCCGTTGCATGTTCATGGCTCCTAGATCCAGACCCATCACCTCTGTCTGTTCAAAGAGGTGGTCCTGGAGCTCCTCAATGAGCAGCTGGTTCTGTTTCATCAGTTTTGCATGGTCCACAACCATGCCTCGGATCAGGGGGTCGATGCCTCCTGCAGCCATTTCAAAGCAAGGAAAGATTTTTTGTGCCAAGGTGCAGCTTTGGTGATCTCTTTCATGCAGCTGAAACAGTCTACTATGGGCTGGGTGGGGTTTTCAGCTTCACATTTTCATTTCACCATATGTATATGGAATCACAGAATCATAGAATCACACAGTGGTTTGGGTTGGAAAGGACCTTAAAGCCCCTCTCATTCCACCCGTGCCATGGGCAGGAACACCTTCCACTGTCCCAGCTTGGTTGCTCCAAGCCCTGTCCAGCCTGGCCCTGGACACTTCCAGGGCTGGGGCAGCCACAGCTGCTCTGGGCACCCTCACAGGGCTACCTGTATGAACCTGTACATGTCTGCAGGTGCCAGTAAATAAAGCCCCACATAGTAACTAAATTCCTTATCCCCCCCCATCCCTTAGCTTTCCTTCCACACTCCTAAATCCACTTGCCATCCACCAGTCCCTTTCTAAGTCTGCTCCTCAGCCTGCCAGGCTCCATTATGTCCTGGTGCTTCGGGGTCTGTCCAAGGTTTTAGGTTTTGCAATGAATTTTGCTTGTAATTCACTATTAGTTGACAGACATTTATTAGAACATTAAATGTAGTGATAGCATAATGTCTGACAGTCCACATCTTTTTCATAACAATTAAGGAGACAGTATGAGCAAAACCAGGAAAATTGGCTGCACTACTGTAATTATATTTCTCATGACTAGTTAACCCATTTTGGAAGAGATCTCAGTCTTCCTCAGAAAGACTTATCTGGAGATCTCAGCTGTGTAATAGCAGGACCCCATAACGCCAGTAAGAGCAAGGAAGAGGGATGGGCACCTCTAGGAAGGAATGATGCTGCTTTAGTTCAGTTAAACTGGATGCATCACCCTCTGTCCATGTCTCCTGGTTATAGGGGGATATAAGAGCTTTGATTGGCATTGACTTTGGTGGATGGACATTTGGCACAGGGAGTCTCCTGCCTCCTGGAGCACGGGAGCAGCTGCACCGTCCGAGTGGATGTCCAACGCTCCACTGTCGTGTCTTGCTGAGTTGGGAGGGAGGGGTCCAAGGAGTGACTGAAATGCTGCTCAGGGCTCTGGGCTGGGTGACAAGGCGGGGGTCACAGGTTGGACTTGATGGTCTTGTAAATCTTTTCCAACCTAAATGATTCTGGGATTCTGTGATTCCGTGTGCATGACCAGCTGATCTCCACCCCAGGACCAGACCAGAACCACTGCTCCGTGTTCTTACCTTCCATTACAATTCTCCATGGAGCACAGAAGGTCAAATGCAGAGGGACGTGGGAGGAGGAGCACAAAGGCTGAAAGCTCTCATTCAAACGAGACACAAAAGGCTGCACAGACGTGTGGCCGAATCGGAAAGCCAGGGAGAAAACATTTGAGGCCCTCGGATCCACCTTTTCATTGTAACCACTGTACAAAGGGATCCACCTGCTGGTCTCCTCAGCCAGCAGGAGTGGGAGGTAATCTCTGTATGTTATGATCTGAAAAACCACAATAGCACAGCAAGTTACCAGCAGCTGCAACAGAAATGGGATCAGAAGTCAACTGCAGAGAATGAACATGGACACTCTGCAGCAGAATTCATTAAAATCTTCAGAAAAAAGAGCTGTAGCAATGGAATAAGTTTGGTATAATGGATAGAAATTATTTTAAAATGTGAAATTATTTTACCTAATAATTAATTTATGCATTAATATAATAATATAATATATAATTGATAGATCAGTAGCATGGCTCATAAAAAAGCTCTGGATATCCATGCTGTCTCAGATGGACTGTCCTCATTCACAGTTTCCAACTTCCACAAATAACTCCACTGATTTGGCAAAACATTTTCATCCTTTTGCCTGACGGAAAAACCATTTCTAAGTTTGTGGATGATAAACAGTTAAGAGTAATCAGTACCTGGTTTATGGCAATCACAATCTTTCGACTCTCCTGGTAAAGCTTTTCCCCATCCCAGTGAGGATTTAATTTCCTCAGCTCCCTAGCCAGGTGATTGTGCTCTCGGACAAAGAGAGTGTGCATTGCAGAGAGTCCCAGGTTTTCTGTCACCCGTTTGTCACCTAAAATGAAAATATTTTATGAATTTTGTACATTGCTTTCAATTTCAGCAGCAAGTTTTTGTGTTAGGACAGTCAAGTAACAAGTGGTGATGTTTCTGGCAATAATGCTGTGTCTGCCCCATCCCTGGAGGTGCACAAGGCCAGGCTGGATGGGGCTTGGAGCAACCTGGGACAGTGAAAGGTGTCCCTGCCCATGACAGGAGGTGGAACAAGATGGTCTCTAAGTTCTCTTCCATGCCAAACCCTTCTGTGATTCTATGAAAACTGGAGGGCACTCACTGAAGACCCTCTGTGAGATGATGGAAGAAGCACTGAGCATCTCCTCACTCAGCAAGGAGCCCTTCTCACAGGCAGAGAATGAGGAAATGAGAACACTCTGTACCCTTATGATTGATTTTGCAAGCTTCATATTTATAATGTTTTTTAAATGTTATTCCTGTGATGGATCACTTCAAATTTGAATAAGTTCTGTGTTTGTCTTTAGTTTTTTTTAATTTCATACTAGTCTAGACTTTTCTTCTGATGTAGAGTGGGTTAGTTATTTAATTGATTAACTAGATTTCTTAAGAGTGTTTAGTTGTTAGTCTTGATTGGGGTGAAAACTGAATCATAGAATCACAGAGTGGAAGGGACTTTAAAGCCCATCCCATTTCAACCTTCCAGTACCCCAGGTTGCTCCAAGCCCCATTCAGCCTCACCCTGGACACTTCCAGGGATGGGGCAGCCACAGCTGCTCTGGGCAACTTTTGCCAAGGCTTCACCACCCTCACAGGGAAGAATTTCTTCTGTATATCTAATTTAATCTATTCTCTTTCAATGTGAAGCCATACCCCTTTGTCCTCCCACTACAGTTACTAATGCAGTCCCTCTCCAGGCTCCCTGTAGTCCCTCCAGATCCGGGAGGGTGCTGTGAGGTCTCCACACAACCCACTCTTCTCCAGGCTGAACAGCCCCAGCTTTCTCAGTCAGCACTGACAACCTGACAATTGGCATTCAAGTGAATGGTGAACTCTAGGTGGATGAAAAAAAGCTTCAGAGGAGTTTTAAACACTGGTGGCTATTCTGGTGAAAATTTCTCATGTTTTTGAAAAGACTATTAAGGAAGAACAAATTGCTATAATTTTTTGGGAAGTTAATATAATGTTTATGTTTATTAATCGACTATTGCTTGATTATTTTTCTTTTCTAACTGGGGGGAGGATTCCCTTACGTAGTCATGTCTTGAAGCGCCTCATTCAAATATCACAGAATCACAGAATATCCTCTGTTGGAAGGGACCTACAAGGATTCCATACAGAGATATTTGTCCCTTTTTGACTTCATTGTTATAGGTAAAAGTTAAGTTAAGTTAAAATAGGATATAGTTCAATTATATTTTATTAATTATGTTATATTATTTGTATTATGTTAAAGGGGAGGGGCTTATTAGAATGTGCTAGAAGGGTCCAGGGTTTGGTGAAACAGGGGTCTGATGGGGCAAGGCAAGGTCGAAGAGAGATTGGATGGAACATCTGACCAATCATTCGAAGCCCTGCAGAAACGATTGGTCCAGAATGAACGGCGGTAAAGACCAATGAGAAGCCTGGAAATGGACCAATCGTCATGGGGATCCAAAATGCACCAATCCTGGACTCGAGGGGGACTATAAATGTGGGGCGGTCAGATGGGTCAGGGTTCTTTTTCTTTTTGGATACTTTTTGTTTGGGAGAACCCAGTGCACTTGGGGTGAGCGCACTGTTTCGTTTTTGGCTCGCTGTGTGGGTGCCTGGGCTTATCCTGGGCACTCCGTTCCTTGTAGCTATTTTAATAAACGAGAACCTCTTTCTGTGGAGAAACTTTGGCCTTGTTCATATTCATAACATCATGACCCACTGAAACCCCCCCAGCTGCACCTTACCTGCTTTAAAGCAGGGGATGTTGGCGCTCCTGTTGGTGAGCGCACAAACGCTGTGCGTCGTGTTCTCGAAGGGCAGCAGCTCCAGCCCCGCGTCCCAGAAGAGCTGGTTCACGGCCATGAGGCCCAGCTGGCTGCTGAGGTTCCTCAGGCTCCTGGCCAGGGCGTCGTCGCTGCCGTAGACGGTGCTGGCGTCGATGAAGGACGTGGCAGCGTTGAGCTGCTCCCGCCGGAACGCGCCGGGGCTGCACGCGGAGGCCGACTGCACGAACGGCATGCAGGTGTCAGGGCTCAGTGCCCGCGGGTCATCAGGGGGGAACTAAAGTGAACAAGCCAAGTGATGCCTCAGAAAGCCCTGAGTGGTTTCCAAAGTGGTTTCATTTTTGCTGCTGTAAGAGGGGGTGGGACGGGTGAGAGTCAGGGTACCTTAATGGGGAAGCAGGGGGGCTTGAAGGCACAGCTGGTGTGGCACTGGAGCTCCAGGCTGGCTCCTTCCCCACTGGCAGGGGCCAAGTCTATGTCGTGGTTGACCCACTGGCCCCATTGCATGAAGACCAGCGAGAGCTGCCGGTCTGCAGTGATGTTCTCGTTAGCCGTGTGAGCAATCTCATTGGATACTTTTCGAACCTGCAGGAAACCAAAATGAAAATGTGACTGTCTCTGCCATGGTGGAGGGGTTGCCTCTCACTTGAACTCCCACTGAGACATCTTGGAATCACAGAATCATGAAGGTCAGAAAAGACCTCTGAGATCATCAACCTTTGACCGATTATCCTCACTCCCTCTAAACCATATGGAGAATTACCACGTCTACCCGTTTTTGAACACCTTCAGGGATTGACTCCTCCACTACCCTGGAAATCCTGCTCCAATGCTTAACCACTATGTCATTGGACACATCTTTCCTAATATCCTAAACCTCCTCTAGTACAATTTGAAGCTATTTCCTCTTGTCCTGTCACTTGTTCCCTTGGAGAAGAGGCCAACCCACAACTAGTTCTTTCAGGTAGTGGTAGATTATGCACAAGATTATTTTAGATAAATTACTAAGAGTTATGGCATTACACAGCTCCATGTCATTCCTCAGCTCCATCCAATCAAGTGTAAAACTAGACTACACAGTCCTTCAACCAAACCTGGCTTCATGGAAAGCCCGTTCCAGCTGAAACTTGTTTGCGAACACCAGAAAGTCAAGGACATGGCTGAGGAGCTCCCAAGCCTTGTATTTTATACAAACCTGGTGTTCTTGAGCACAGGCTGCAGCAATCCTTGGGATGTACACTTTGGAGACTGCTTAGGAAAGCGTCCATAACCTTTTTCTCATGTCTGTCTCCAACAAAAAATATTAACCTGAGCAATAACTCAGTTGTGGAAAAGCTGCCTAAGATCAAGCAATTTACACTTCAGATATTGCCACTGCTTCCTTCCTGATGGGTGCACTGAGGGCAGTGTCCTTCCTCATGGCTGGATTAGGATAACAACTCTCACCAGCGGGAGTGGGAATCCATTGTAGCGCTTTCCTTCACTTGCTCCTCTGGGAACAGACACTCCATCTTCGTACACGGCTGGGAGCCAGCGCACGAAGGCGCGGTTGGAGGACCCCAGGTGGGAGTGATTTCTGCAGCATCACCAGAAAAACAACTTCTGTTATTTTTTCAAACATCAGCAGCCTTGCACAGACCAACATTTCACAGCCCTTTATTCCTTGCCTGAACACGCTGGTAACAGGGATGAGACTGGCAAAACACCAAAATGCAAATTGTACCAAGGTTATGACTGTGGAGAAAAATAAACTTTTTAAAAAAAGGCGTTTTTTGTCACTCTATTTATTGTGTCTGTCAGTTAAACCTGCATTAATTTTACCTGGCATTTAAATCTCTCTACCACCTCTGTCTTCACTGCCCTCTCAAAATCAGACTCACAGCAGCGCCATCAGCATGGTGAGGGTGGCCACGTCTTGTCCAGCTGGGGGCTGGAAGCTTGCAAAGATGAAGATTCTCCACTTCTGTGGGGATCTGTGCCAAGGCTGCCCCTTGGGGAAGTTTTTGCACAGACCCTTTCAGCCTGCAGCTGTGGCCATTGTGTTGTTGCCTTGCACTGCTCTGAAAAGTTTGAATTACTAAAGTCAGCATTTTGTGTTGAGAAGAAAAAGAATTCTGATTGAGCCAATGATCTGTGGCCCTGTGGGCACAAAACTCAGGCAACGTCTATATGATGTGGCACTCAGGGTTCTGGTCTAGTTGATAAGGTGGGAATGAGTCAAAGGTTGGGCTTGATGGTCCTGGGCGCCTTTTCCAACCTAAATGATTCTATGATTCTGCACTGGAAAAGGAGACAAGCAGCTAGTGCTCACAGCAATGTGCTGTGAAATAAAAGCATGTCCTAGGAAAATGACTGTGCCAGAGCTGAAGCAATTCCATCAAATATTAAGGACTCAGAACCACCAGGGTCTTGTTCTGATTGTTATTACTGTCCTTGAAAGCAAATTATTTTCATGGTGTGCACCTCAAGCTGAGCAAGATCCTTGGGAAAATATTAACACCACAGGGATTCCTCAAGCCTCCCTCCTTCTCTCTGACAGCCCAACAAGGTCAAGGACAAGCCTACCCTGGGCCTCAAATCAGCATGGACACAAAACCCCACAATGGGTCAGCTGGAACAGACCACAATGGAGTCACTGGTCCCATGTCCCTGCTCAGGCAGGGTCAGCTCAGACCACATGGCACAGGGCTGTGTCTAGACAGTTCTGGAATGTCCCCGGTGGAAGAGGCTCCATACCCTTCCTGGGCAGACAGACAATGCTGTCCCTGTAGGGGTGGAGGCTCCGGGTTCCAGGGCAGCAGACTGGAAAACCCCAGTGAGTGTGAGCTCCCCGCACACCACTGCAGAGCTGTGCTGTGTCATCACATCTGGCACATCTGTTTCATGCCAGGTGCACAATGGATGCAAGTCCAACTCAGATTTGGGGTCTGGCACTGACACAGCAGGACAAGGAGCCTTGACTGTTATTGTCAGTGTAGAAATTTGGTCATTTTCTGGTAAAAAAAAAATAATTAAAAAGCACAACAGGAAATAAATGATCCCAGCTTTGAACCTGGAGGAAAATTGTGCAAAAAAACCCCTGAAGAACTAATTTTCTCAGATAAACGATGTACAATAAACAAAGTTGGAAGGACCAAGAATTAAAGTCTTATTTGATTGCCACCCTTACTCATCACAGAGATACATCAACAGCTGAATATTATAATCTAAATCAGCTGGGGAAATTAGTATTGTCCCTACAGAAGAGTGGAGGGATGATTTCCTGTAGCCTCCAGCAAAATGAGAGGCTGAGTCATAGCCTCAAAATTTTCCTAACTTCTTACCTGCCCCCACCCCAAGATCCTTTCCTTCATCTAAAGCAGCATCTAAAGGGCAAGTGGGCACAAATCTTTTTTTAAAGAAGTTTTAAAGAGATTTTAAAGAAGTTACATATTTTTCCTGACAGGCACAGGTAGAAATGAATCCTCTGTTATAGGCTCATTAAACTGAGCATTTCAGTCTTCTTGCCCTTTCGAAAGGCACTTTCACAAATCACCTACCCTGGGTCAGAATAAAGAGACTCACCTTGTCCACACAGAAATCCTACCTGTTGTTGCACTCCCCAGTGATGGTCCGGTAAAAGTCCCTCTCTGGGCATTTAATGGAACGAGTCTGATAGTCACAGCCAGTGCCCTTGGAAATCATCTCCTTCTGTCTCCTGCTCAGCAGGTCTGCAAGAAAAACCCTGTAGAGTGACATCTGATCCTACTCTTCTTTTGTTGTTTCAGCTTCTCAGTGTTCTAGGTCAACATTTGAGCCCACTGAATTGGAGCTGTGGATATAAGACATCTGGATTGGAATTATTAATTTGGTGCCTAAATCCTTTTGTGGATCAGCCTTCCCCTCTGGACTAGGGAAACTGGGTGGGCATAAAGCAATTTTTCAGGGGAGTGTGGACAGCATCATCACCAGGAAGGTTTTACCCCAGCTGGGAGCAAAACTATGAGTTTGCAGAGTGGTACGACCTAGGTGTGCAGAGCAGAAGTGGAAGATGGAGGGTTTTCAGGGATTACAGTCTCCAGTGGGCTTTGTCCCAGGTTTGTTACAGGTATTGTTAAGCTGGTTTTACAAGGATAGGAGAGATGCACTCTCCAAGATGATGAATAAAACACCTGGGTGTCTGCTCTGTCTCTGAGAAACCTTCAAATCTATTCTCCTGTTGGGGAAGGGTTTCATCCCTGGTTATTTGGGCCATGGCAGAGCTGCTCCCTGCTACCTGCTGTGGCACATTTCCTGCTCTTTGTAAGACATTTTGGTCTAAATCACATTACCTGTGACATTGAAACTCTGTTCTCCAGAGAGATGCAGGTTCCTTTTGAGAAGTTTCAAAGTAGTTTCCAAATAATCAGCGGCACGGACTGCAGATCTGGTTCTTCCTATGGGGTCCTTTAGGTGCTTCAGGAAATCCATCGGGTTAACAATCTTCTCCTCCAGTTTTCTCTTTAAGCTGAACATAGAAGAGTTCTATGAAAGAGTTCTTCTCTGAAATCAGCGCTGTTCTGTCATGCTGGACTGGGTGTAATTATCTGTGACACCACTGCAGGGTCACACGCAGGCCCTGCCCAGTAGGACCGGCTGTCTGCACGTTAGCATGTCAGCTCAGATGGTTTTGGCAAGCAAAGCACTGTAATCCCCTACTTCAAGTTTGCAGTCATACTTCCTTGTCACAATAAACTTTGTTCTATCATGTGGAAATCCAGATCAATTAACTATGTCTGGATAAAATTTTACATGTATTATGTTGCAAGGTGTATTCTGTGAACAGAGGGACAACCTTGCTCCTGTTCTGTGGGATTTCTGGGCTGTTCAGATGGTCTGGGGAAAAGCCCAAAGATGGCCTTGGGCCCCCGGGTTCGAAAGGACGAGAGGAAGCTTCGGATTTGTTCTCGGTCTCGGTGTTTATTAATTGCTTATCTAAAAGATTTTCTCTTGGCCTGACAGAGTTCTGCTCAGCAGTCAGCCATGGGCACACACTGAAAGCCCCTGGGGCGGTCACCTATCTTTATACCCGGAGTTACGTATACAATATTTATCATTTTTCTCCAATACCCTCTGCCCTTATTAACCAGTGTTCCCCTAGTAAGGTCCAATCCCGGAGTGCCAACATCACCACAGAAGATGGAGGTCTAGAGGAAGAAGAAGAAGGAGAAGGGCACGCCCCAATTTCTCCATCTTACTTCTCTAGACCCCCCTGTACAGAAATCTTAAGCCCTGTATCTCACACTCCAATTAACTTGTCCCTTCACCATTCACCCCAGTGAAATCCTCCCGTCCTCATACTGATGTCATCTCCCATGTGGGATCAAAGTCCAGCCACCAGACATTTCTGGCAGCATTCCAGGACTCCCGAGCCCCCCAGGGGGGGTCTTGTTCACCCTGCACCCCAGTTCTGAGAGACTGAGATCCCACACTGTTCCATCTCTTTCTGGTCTCAAGGTTCTGTCTTGCTACTTTTGTAGGATGAGTAGAGAGAGATGCCTTCCAAAATCATCCCACTGCCAGATCAGCCTTTTGGAACAATCACAGAGAATCCGTGGGGTTTGACTTCCACTGACATCTGTCTGGGGCAGGGTGTCCTTCTGAAGAGGGGCAGAACTCCTGCTGCCAGGAGAGGTCTCACACTGTCCAGCATGTCTGAACCATTATGGACGAGTGAGAGGTGCTTATGGCAGTGTAGGTGAGGAAACAATACTTGGAGGTCATGGTTGGTGGTTCTGGGACCAGAATCCAGCCAAACTGGGCAAAAGGATCGGAGGGATCCTTTTGCCATGACAAAGAGATCTCTGGTGCTAAGGCTTCTCCATCATAAATATGCATTGGAAAACAGAAAAAACACACATGTCTTTAATCTTGCTACCTTAAAATATTTGGGCTGTCATGCAGGAAGAACTCACCTTTTTCGGGCCTGTAAATATGTAGCATCTACCAACTGCCTGGCCTCAGTAATGATGCTCTGGAGAGATGAATCTGACAGCACCTCTGAGACCTCTGCTCCACAAAATAAAAGAAGAAGAAGCAGAAATGTAGGATACTCAATTATACACCAAAAGCTTTGTTTTCAACCAAACTGTGTCCCCAAGCTGCCACATACCAAAGTTTTTTTAACATTTTCAGGGATGGTGACACCATCACTGCTGTGGAAAGCCTGTTTCAATGCTTCCCAATCCTTTCCTTGAAGAAATTTTCCCCAATATCCAATCTAAATCTCTGGCACAATTTGATGCCATGTCCTCTCCTCCTGTCCGTGTTCCCTGGAGCAGAGCACCTGGCTGTCCCCTCCTGTCAGGAGCTGTGCAGAGCCACAAGGGCCCCCTGAGCCTCCTTTGCTCCAGGCTGGGAAAAGGAGCTTTCTCAGCTCCCTCAGCTGCTCCTGGGGCTCCAGACCTTTCCCCAGGGAAAGTGCACAGAAGAAATCAAAGATACAGTCTCTGCCCCAAGTTTCCTGTCATAAAATTATGATTTGCTCAGATGAGCTGTTGGTTAAATAGGGAGTTTCCTTAGCCGAATCTCTCAGGTATCAACTTCATTTTTAGTGGATCCATCTATAGGATATTTCAGTTTTTTATTGGAGCTGTGTCTAATTGGGAACTCCAGCTGAGTTTTGATTCACACCCTTTCCAGTACAGCAGCAGCCAAAGGACAAACAGGAACCTACTATTGCCCGAGGAGCCCATTGCTCCAACTGCACAGAGAGTGATGAGGGATCCCAGGAGAGTCATCCTTGGATTTGTGCCTAGGGAGAAATGCAACATAAATCCTCAATGGGCAGGGCTTCATTGAGGGCTCAGAGCAGATTGAGATGTTTGGTTTCAATATCTTTTTCAGGATCCAGGAATAAAATCAGTATCTCTCACTGTGGCACAGCACCTTCCCTGAAAGGAGATTTTTAGCCCAAAGGTTGTAAATAGATTTAAGTAATTTAGTCAACTTTCAAATTGTTAAGAACAGGACAAAGACAAAATTTGGAAGAACTAATAGATTTCTTACAGTGGGAGAAGTTATCTTGCATTTACAATCCATGAGAATTTTTGGATCATGTTCCTGGGGATTGAAAGCTGCTTATTCCTTGCAAATATGTATTGCAGGAATTTTCTGCACGAGAAATAAATCAGGCTGTCTTTGCTCACTTCTCACAATAAATTAAATACACATCAGGGCAGAAGGAGGAATGAAGCACCACCAGGTCCCAACACTCTGCTCTGCCTCCCATCTCCTTGGGAGGAGAATGCACCAATGCATTCTCAATGCACCTGTGGAATGCACCAATATCCACAACAGAAATATCAAATGCAGATATAGAATGAAAATGCACTGATCTTACCTGCCATCTCTGCAGCACTGGCAGGGCTGGGAGAGAAGTCAGTTCTTTATACACCTGCACCAGGGCAGAAATTTCCCGGGTCTAAGATGGGTGTGGCCAAAAAAATGGGACCAGATTGAGCCAAGAGGAAATATCTGCTGGTTTGCTTTCCTGGAAGGATCTAGAAAGTGTACACTTCTCCATTCCTTCTGATTTCCTTCTTGAAAAATCAGTTTAGAAAGGAATGAAGACACATATTTCTTTCCTGCACGTGAAAGAGGTCAGCTTAACTTTATGACGGTTAAAGACCATGGTGGAATTTGGCTTCTTTTTCCTTGTTGGTTGAATTTGTGAAGGTTTGGGAAGACAGAAATGGATCATTTTGCCAATGCATTTGTGGGGCATCCCAAGGTTCACATGCAGCATGTGTGAATGGTGGGCCTGCCACTATTTGTGTCCAGGCAAAACAAAGTTGTGTCCCATCAGGGATTTGGAAATTCCTATAAAATTATTGCTGATTATTAGGGATGACACAAAGTGGACAAGGAATGAGGCAGTAGTACAGAGTAGGGTCAAGCTGTCTCCAGCAAAATTACATGGACAGAAGTATGGACAATCCCAAAGTTATAGATGTGCCAATGCTCAGAAAGGAACACAGTCTTGGGCCAAGTGATGTCATTCATTTCAATGTGAATTATGACAGAGGGTTAGGAGGAAATTCCTCCCTGTGAGGGTGGGCAGGCCCTGGCACAGGGTGCCCAGAGCAGCTGGGGCTGCCCCTGGATCCCTGGCAGTGCCCAAGGCCAGGCTGGACAGGGCTGGGAGCAGCCTGGGACAGTGGGAGGTGTCCCTGCCACGGCAGGGGCAGAATGGGAGGAACATTAGGGTCCCTTCCAACAGAAATCATTCCATGATTCCATGATATGCAGGAGGGAAAAGGACTGTACTTCAGTGGACCAAGGTTGTAGAAATAATTTAATCCTTTGAACATTGGTGACGCTGATAACAAAAGACAATGCTGAATTTTCTTGCCATCAATCAGCCTTTTAAACCTCCCAGGATTAGGGAGCCAATCCTTCCTACTGTTCAAATATTTTCACAGCTCCTATTAACCAAAATAAATAAAAGAAAAGCATATATGATAAAGGAAACTGCTACCAAAAATATGTTGTTGTAAATCTGTCAGGGGGAAAAAAGAAAAAAAAAGAAATATGATGGCCAGATTTTCAGAAACTGAAAATGCAAAGTCAATATTTCTCCCCTAAAGAGAAATCTGAATCTAAAGCAGGTGGCCCCCAGTACCAGAGGGACTGTGGTCACCCTACTAGGTGCTCCACGTTATCTATCCAGCTTTCCTTGCAAAACGTGCATAGGCAGAAGTCCAGGTACCTGCTGGGTG